TGTGAAAATTCTTCAGATGTAGATCATTTCAGGTGGAATGCAACATTATAAATATATTAAAGATTGTGCCCCAACATCCTGATTCAAATGTTTTAAAAAACTCGCAGAGCTCTGAGATGCCACCGTTTGTGAAGGCAGCTATATAAATACAAGTTTTTGCTTATATTTCAGTAGTTCACAATGGTAATGAAGTGAATCAAGCCAAATACCTGACAAATGTCAGCCTGGCTCAGTGGTAGCATTCTCACCTCTGAGTCAAAAGGTTGTGCCCCATGTTGGGACTTGGAATCACAGAGTCTAAACTGACACTCCAACGCAGTGCTGGGGGTGTTGCATTGTCAGAGGTAGATCGGATTGTGGACATAAGGCCCAAGCTGTGGACAGGAAGATGGTGGCAATGCTCTTCCACATTTCAGGCTGAGCTGCGTTGCCCACTGGGAAGCTCACAGGGAGTTACTGGTACCTACCATCCACCTAGTGAGGGATCAAACCCACGCTTGTCGGATGTCGAATGACCAACTACGAACTATCCTCCTGGTGGGTGGTGGGGGGGGGAAGGGGAGTTAACAGCCTAACCAGCCTGGCTCATCGATAGGACTTTGGCCCATCGATCTCATTCCTCCGGAACCCTAACCTCCATCACTGCAGCCAGCTGCTTTTTAAACCAGTTCAGTATCCTGGCCTCTACCACCTTTCCTAGCAAACCCTTCCAGTTGTTGATTACCCTCTGCGTAAAGAAAGACTACCTCATATCTGTTCTGAAAATGCCCTTTACATCTCTAAACCTACGTATTCTTGTTCTACTCTCTTGATACATGCTTAAGCATTGTTCTGGGTTTACTTTTTCAATCCCATTTAAAATGTCCTGAAACTGATGTGTGCGCTTCCCTTATCTGCTCTTTCCAATTCCTTACTATCCTTGTATATTGTTTTCAGACATTCTCCTGTGTGAAAGTGCTGTTTCATTGTTTTATAAACATATTGCACAATTAGTGATTTCAGTGTTTTACAGAGATCTGGACTTGGTGGGGCCTTGCTGTTTGATTCATGGATGGCCAACAAAATAAAGGGACATGAGTTTCATGGCAAATTACGAGCAAATGTTTTCCCCATCTCACTCCCAAAGCACAACTCGATTCTCTATACTCCTTTACCTCAATTGCCTCTTCCTGATCAACAATTCTGAATACAATGACATGGCTCATTGAAACCTCCATCCTAGTGAATCACAAACACGTCTAAAATGATAGACATCAGCTGCACTCAAGGAAAAGTTAACAGATCTATAATTGTATGGTGTGAATGTGGAAAATATGGATATAGATACAATGGGTTTTCCTCTCGCCTCCACCCAGGCTTCATCCTTGGCCCCAATCTTCTTCTCATCTATATGCTCCCCCTCTCGGTGATGTTGACCACAGACATTGGGTCAACTTTCACATGTACGTGGATGACACTTAAATATACTTCTCCTCCGGCAGGAACTCCCAGTCAATTGATGTCCTGCTAGCTTGCTTGACGGACATCAAGGCCTGAATGAGTGCAAATTTCCTGCAACTGAATGTTGGCTAGATGGAAGCCATCTCTCCAGTCTTCTCTCCAGCAGGTCTGAAATCCTCAACCTCCCTAGGCTCAACTTCAGACTCTCTGAATCTGTGCGTAACTTAGGCATGGACATCCGTTCCCTGACCAGGACCATTTTTTTCCATCTCCGTCACATTTCCCATCTCTGTCCGTACTTCACAGCGAACGCAACAAAAACCCTCGTCCATCCCTTTGTCACTTCCCGGCTGGACTTTTCCAATGCCTTCCTCACTGGTCTCCCCAGCTTCACTGTACACAAAATGCAATTAATTAAAAACGCCACTGCCTGGCCAATAACCCGATGAATCTCCGTACCACCATCACACCAGTCCTTGCCAGGCTCCACTGCCTCCCAATTACTGAATGGATCGATTTCACGATCCTCTCACTCGTTTTCAAATTACTTCATTACCGAGCAGCTCCCTACCTATCCGATTTGCTTACCACCCACTCCACCACCTACTGCCTCCGTTTGGCTGGCTCCACCTCCTATTTGTCTCTCATGTTCTCTGTTCTACCATCAGTGGCCGTGCCTTCAGCCACTAAGTCCCGAAACTCTGAAACTCTCTCGTTCAATCCCTCCATCCTATCACCTCCCTCCCCACCTTCAAATCCTGTCTGAAGACCTTCCTTTGCTTACAACAACAAATTAAATTTCAGCCACCTCCCCCTCCCCCCACTTTCCTGGGCTTGGTGTCAGACTCCGCCACTGTAAAGTGCTCCAGGACGCAATCCCGCATGAAGGACGCTATATAAATGCAAGTTGTTGTTGTTATATTGTTCCAAAACTCGTACCCGGAATAGATTGTCAGCCTAGACTGCCAGTTCTGAACCTCAACCTACTGTCTCCCCATTAAAAATAGTCTTTTAAAATTGGATAACAGAGGCAAGGGTGCTACCACCTGAGCCAGGCTGACTTACCTGAACAGTCCAACCTCACTAATCCGGTCACTCAAGGGTCTGGACAAAAGTGACCTTCTTAGTGAGGTGACCGATTACTGAACCAGGCTGGGTGATTCAGGTCACTGATGCAGTGCTAAGGGTATTGGTAATGGGCAAGTGTGATGAACATTCAACAACCATACTTTGGAATCTTAATTAAAATACAGGCATTGTCACATTTAAAACAAAAGCTGTCATGTATTCAGCCTACCTTTTGAGAATGCATCCAACTTATGTTCTGCCAATGCCATAGATCACAACTAACTGTCTATGACTTTTGCCCTCACTGTTCTTGATTAACGTCCACTATCGCACGTAAGGTCAACTCCTTTTATGGTGGCATGTTTACAACACTGACCAAGAATTGGCGGCAGGAGCTCAGGTAAGGCCGCAGGCGCCAGGCGAAGTCGATTTTCCGCTTGCGCCGCTTCCGGGATCCCAACACTTCCCTCACCGTGCACGTGCGACCACAGCCCATGCCGCCCACAGCAGTGTTGAGGAAACGGTGTGAGAAGCCTGAGACCTAGGGCTTGTGTACAGGTTAGTAGTGGAGGGGGGTGTTTGCACCACGTTTGAAGCGTAAGAGGGCGCTGTGGCGGCTACAATCAATGACCGTTTTCCTGAATTCTGAGGTGCCCGGTTTACTGAAGCAGACAGACAGCCTATCTTTTAGTATAAACCATGAAAGAGACTGTGAAAATGTGCTCGCAATTGTGAGGTGGCTGGATTACCGAGGTGACCGCAAACCGGGTTTCTATTGTATATTTACATCACTGAAATTTCATTACCAATGTGACTTTTTCAAAACAATTTAATAATTTGCAAACCACAGAAGCTGCAAATCTTTTTTTTATTTCAGAAGTTCAGCCACGTGTAGTTTATACAAATATATATGAATCATTCAGTGATTAATTTTCAAAAAAACTATAAAAAAATGCTTTTGTTCAGAAGTTTCTGCGGCAATTCTCAGGAGTATTGTCCTCCCTGATGGACAGGTAAGTAGGGTCTCCTTGGAGCTGAGTTGGCTACAGGGTGACATGTTTGACAATGGAATCTTGGAATTGAAGCACTGCTCTGTGGTGGACTCAGTGATAATAAGCCTTCCATTTGACATAGCACCTCATCATGTCTTCAAGATATCTCAAGTGTTTCACAGAATATACTGTAAAGTGAAACGACTAAATTTTGTGAAGGGAACACTGACAGTAGTCCAGTTTCTGAGCCAGATGGGTCCAGTCTTCCAGAGCCCTGTTGATGACAGATGAGTGCCTGGCTTGTCGACAGGAAGTGAACGGGCAGACTCTTCCACCTCTCAGCTCCTGTTAACCTTACAACCCCAAACCCTGACAGGTAGGGTGGCCCGAGCTGGACAAGTAACAAGAAGCTTGCATGATGGTGCTTTCAAACAAGTTACATGGGTTTAGGTGGTTAAACTCCAGCAGTACCACAACACACATTTAATTCCAGACACAGAAGTTTCCACACGTAGGTTGCATTCATACATAGAAATGTCTGGTTTAAATACTCTTAAGAACAGTGATGAGTTTCTGTTTGTGTTACACACTCAGATGATTAAAACAAGTCAAAGCTAAGACATGTTATTGGCAAACAAAACACAAGTAGTCACTAAATACATTAAATACATAAGTGTGGCTTTCCAATAATGAGCTAGAGAGCCAAAGAGGCTATGCTGAAGAGTAATGGGCCATTGAGTCAGTGTACACATAGTTTCTGAACGTTACTTGGGACCTTACATCCTCACCCCACACACAAGCTGGAAATACTGTGTTAGCCATGGATCAAAAACCATGCTCCATTGTGTAACCTCTCATCCCCTCTCCTGGTGAGGTGCAAATGGCTCCATAACACACATAATAATAATAAATTAGCTTTGCGTTTGCATACTTATAATGTTGAAATAGCTCAAAGTGCTTCACAGATAATGTGCAATTACTATGCATTTGTAAGCAAACATGTCAGACATTTTGCACAACAGTCCGACAAATAGACATAAAATTAATGACTAATTTATTTTCCCAGTATACATGGAAACATTTCCTTCTTTTTTCAAATAGTGTTATGGGATCTTTAATGTCCAGGCAGATGCCTTAACCAGAAGATGCTATTTTCAACATTTGCAATGCTCCCCAGTACAACACTGAAGCCTGAGTTCATAATCCTGACGTTCATGAACCTTCTCAGTGGCCAGAGCTAAGATGATACTTTATTAAGTGTTATAGCAGCTGTGATGCTGGGACTATTTTTTATTAAATACTAAAAATTCAGATGTGAACATTCAGATATAAAGCATGCCTGGAGTTTTCTCAACATTGACAGATGGTGTTTGGTGTTCAGCTCCCCTCTCGACTCTCTACCCCCTCCTCGTTCCCTCCCTTCCCTCCCCTCACCCTGACCATTTCCCCTTTGCTCGGGTCCTGACCCAACTGTACAGCGCCTTGGGACGTCCTCCTGACGTGAAAGGCGCTCTCTAAATGGAATCTTGTTGTTGTTGTTGTTGATCTGTTCGATCCTGGAAAACCTTGTGATTGTTCAAACATACGGCATGCAGGAGGACGGAATGGAATAAATGTTGGGGGGTTGTCTGGCAATTGATCTCATCAGTAACAGGGAAGAAATTACAGAATCTTTTGGTAATTCAGTGATGTTTCGCTACCATTAGATGAATTGTTGGTGTCTCAGTTGTGCCCAGCTAACACAAACAAAAATTCTATACAATATGTTCTTCAGGCTCATAAAGTTTCTCCTCAGTAGTTGATCAATTATGTTACATGATCTTCTTCAAGCTGGTGATGGTCTCTTTCCTCCCCAGAGTTATCAGCTGCTTTACACTTATTCCAATTTGTAGCATGTTTTTTACGACGTAACAGGGCAACTAAAACAAATGAATAAATAAAGTGAGCAGCATTCCACATAGTTGACTTAACCTTAGGAAACATTTTACATGTATTTGCAATTTTTAATATACACAAGAGGGTCTAATGAAGAATATCAGCCCCATAGATTCAGTGCCCTGGCCTCAATCATCCTTCCTGCTAATAACTTGCAACTGTTACTTTCTGCCATCTTTGAGGTGCAAATGTCACATGTGATATTTTATGTGGTCAATCATTTTGACATTCAATTGACTTGAGCTCAGTGACTGGAAAGTATTTATTTAAGATAGTAGTAAACAAGCAAATGGGAGGTTAGGAGACTTTTTTTCACACACAGAGTAATTAGGATATGGAATGCCCTGTTGGGAGCAGTGGTTCAATCAGAATCTCTATTAGCCTTCATAGAAAATTATAGCACAGAATCGGGTCATTTGGCCCAATAGTCTATGCCAGGGATTATATTCCACACAAGCCTCCACTCATCCTAATCCCCTCCCCTGTACCCCAATCTTCCTTGCTCCCATTAAATAATTTTCCTTTTAAATACGTTATATGTTAATAGAGTTCTGAAGCAATATTTCTGTTATCTGGTCTGATCGGGACGTGCCAGCCAGTAAGTCCCAGCTAAGGCAGTTGACAATATACCGGCCGACTTTATGCTGATCGGAGGGGGCTTTGTGTCCCCAGGAAGAGATCTTATTGCAGAGCTGGAGGAACAGCAGCCATTGTGCAGCATGTCCTGAAGGAAATCTTACAGGAAATTGAAATAAATGTCCGATAATGCAGGATTGAGAAATTTATTGCCTCATGATTGCTCGGGAACTGGATAAATATCTGAAAAGGAGTAAACTAAAAGGCTATGGGGAAAGAGCAGGTAAATGGACCTGAAAAAGATTACTCTTAAAGGAGCTAGCTCAGTCTTGATGGGCTGAATAATCTTCTGTGTCCAGAGTTTGGCACAATGGCACAATCAAACAACTGAAATTCTCAATTTCCATGAAATTTGTTTTATTCCTTCTCACTTTGTGCCTCTTACTATTGTTCTGTTTACAGTTTCAGTTTTTTTAAAAAAAAAACACTTGTCCCTGATTTCCCAGCTGTTCTTAACTGCTGTCTGTCTGGCTGGCTCGCTGTTCACAACTGACATCTCACTAATCTGCTACCGAGATCTAAACTTGAATAAACCAATTGACTTTCGCGCCCCCATCATTAATTTAAATTATTAACAAATGAGTCTCTTGCTTTTATCAGATTTGAAATTGACCCATACCAACTTACCATTTTTGACACATGTATGCGATTAGCACCAAAAAAACTGTTATTAAACTGAAAAAGATGAAAATGTGGTGACGTCGATACTTAAACCCTAAGAAAAACAGAATCAAATATCATCAAAATGAACCTTCAGACTCATCTCTAATGCTATTGAACAGTATAGGCATATTTTTCACAATTTAAACACTTGATGCGTTTTATATTAATCCTTCATTCGTTATAGCGCCTTACCTCAGCATTGCAAAGCACTTCACAAGATTTACTAAAACGTTTAGTTACTGTATTTATACAAACAACAACAACAACATTTTATAGAGCGCCTTTCACATCAGGAGGACGTCCCAAGGCACGGTCAAAGAGAAAGGTCTTGAGACCGGCCTTGAAGGAGGAAAGGGAGGAGGCAAGGCGAAGGCACTGGGGGATAGAGTTCCAGAGCCAAACCTCTCTGTACTCTACAATTTAAGACAAATTATTAAAAATCACAAACAACAACTTGCATTTATATAACGCCTTTCACATGGGGTAACGTCTCAGAGCACTTGACAGTGACTGAGTACAACAACGAGTCAGGGGAGAGGGAAGGTGACTGTAAGCACGATCAAAAAGGTCTTTAGGCGGGATTTGAAAGTGGGGAGGGAGGGGGCAAGGCAAAGAGATTGAGGGAGAGAGTTCCAGTGTTTCGGTGCAAAGTGGCTGATGCACAGCTACTGATGGTGGAGCAGAGGGGACGAGGAACAAAGAGGAGGCCCTAGCCATAGGGGGTAATAATAATAATACTTGTATTTAATATAGTGCCTTATCATGTCTTCGACACTTCTCAAAGCACTTCACAGAAGTGAATTGATTGTATTTTGTGGGCGAAACTCGGCAGCCAATTATGAACAGCAGTGTCCCAAAAACGATCGAGTGACCACTCGATAGGTAGGGAGGTGCAAGGGAATTAAGTGATTTAAAAACGAGTGAGAAGATCCTGAAATCAATCCATTCAGTAATTGGGAACCAGTGGAGTGTGGCGAGGACTGGTGTGGTTGAGGGTACAGAGTTTTGTGCAAGTGAAGCAGCAGGAGAATTTTGAAATAGTTGAATTTTGTGAATGGTGGAACTGGGGAGACCAGCAATGACGGCATTGGAATAGTCCAGCTGGGAAGTGACAAAGGTGTGGACGAGCTGCACTCGTTGTGAGGTATGGACAGAGGTGGGCAATGAGACGGAGGTGGAAAAAAGCGGATCCTGGTCAGGGAACCGATGTTTGGTAGAAAGGAAAGCTGGGGATCGAACCTGACGTCTAAGTTGCACACGGGTTCGGTGAGTCTGAGGGAGAGCCCGGGGAGGTTGAGGAGTTCAGACCCGCAGGAGAGAAGATGTTGACGGGAGCCAAAGAGGATGACTTCCGTCTTGCCAATATTCAGCTGCAGGAAATTTGCGCTCATCCAGGCCTTGATGGCTGTGAAACAAGCTGACAGGGTATCAGCGGACTGGGAGTCGCAGCTGGAGGAGGAGAAATAAATTTGGGCATCATCCGCATAGATGTGGAAGTTGACCCCATATCTGCAGATGACATCACCGAGAGGGAGCATGTAGATAGGAAAAGGGGTTGCTAGGATGGAGCTTAGGGGTACCCCGCAGGTGACTCGGTGGCAGTGGGAGGAATAATCATTTGCCAAGATGTATTGTTGGTAGTTTGTTAAGTCGGACTCGAACCATACGATTGCAGTTCCATTAAGTGAGATGAGGGAAGAGAGACAGTGGAAGAGGATGGTGTATTTGATTGTGTTGAACAAGGCAGAGCAGACTAGAAGGTCGAGGAGGCAGTGGGAGCCCACGTAACAGAGAGAGGGGATTTGTTATTTTGTCGAGTGCTGTCTCTGTGCTGTGCGCAGGGCAAAACCAGACTGGAGGGGTTTGAGTAGGGAGTGAAGGGAGAGGTGTAGGTGAAGTTGATTTGCAATTTCGCGTTACAAAACTTTGGCCAGAAACGGCTGGTTTGAGATGGGTCTGAAGTTTGTCAGGTTGTGCAACATTCAGCAGCAAATCAGCCTCCTTCAGGGAAGCAGATTTCTTCATAATAGTCTTGTGTACTGCATTGCAAAATGTAAAGGATCAAAAAGATTGAAGGAGTGAAAGAAGGACAAAAGAAGGAGCTGTCCTCTCAGCATAGGTTTTGAGCTCATACAGATAAATAATCAATTGAACGAAAAAACTCACCTTCACAATCCTCCATTTGAAAAGGATCGCTTTCTTCACTGTTTCCTGGTTGGTTTAAAATACAAACATACGCTCCCTTATTATTCAGGGGATCTTTTATTTCCAGTAAATGGTCAGTAATGGGATCATTGTCCAGTTGCACGCTTTTGTGTATCCACTCGATTTTAACTAAGTCTTCATTTGAGGTAACATTCTTGTTGCAAATCATATGAACAACAGAAAGATTCCCTCTGCATGTAATCTTTGGCTTTGAAAGTGGGTCTGCAAAATAAAATTCCAGAAACAAATATGTTTTAACCACGTATTAGGAACAATAATAAAATAATCCCTGCATTTGATATGGCCCCTTTGTAAGGTAATTGAAATTAAGGACTGGAAGGAAAGAGTTAAATTTAAGAAGTTGTGTAAGAAAACTGGCTTTCCGTGAGATATTGCAGAGACTAACAATCTTTTGTTTCACTCCCCAACCTTGAAAAGACATACAGTAACTGAGAATGGTTTTGAAGTCTTGGTAACTGAGCAGAAATGTCGGGAACCCTATACCTATACTATACCTTATCATCATCAAATCCTCTTTTCACAGGGTTTACTGTATAGTACAGTGTCTGTGATTTTCGGCTAATATACAGCCAATTTGCACACAGCAATGTCTCACAAATACCCATGAAGTGAATGGCCAATTTTATGTTGGCCAGGACATGAGGATAAACTCCCATCTCCTTTTGAACAATGCCATGAGATCTTTAATATCCACCTGAACAAATGGACAGCACCTCAGTTTAACATCTTACCCGAAGGACAGCGTCTCTGACAATGCAGCGCACCCTAGCACTTTATTTTACCTCCAATCTACTTTTGTAGGCAAGGAGTCATTTACGCTGTAATTATCGTGACCAGTAGTTTTCATGATCAGCACTGATTAATTTTCGAGGAGCAGGTTATCAGAAAAGAAAAGCAAGTTATTAGAAAGAAGAGGCAGGTTATCTAGAAAATAATAACTTACCAAGGACCATTAGGTTGTATTTATTTTCTTCAGTATTGCCATCATCAAATGTGTATTCCAATGTGTAGATACCGACATCTTCTTTCCTTAATTCATTGATTGATAAAGTGTTTTTGTTAATCACAGTTCTTCCTCTGTACGGCTGATAATATACAGGCTCTTTGGACAGATCTGACCAGTCCACGATCTTGTCATGTCTAAACTTCCAGACGATTTCTATTGTCCCTTTCGGACGATTGAAAGAGAAAGATACATTTTGGTTCACCATTCCGTATTCTGTATATTCTTCCTGGATTGACACTGAAACTGGAGAAAAATAGAAGTTGAATAGCAATGAAGATCATTATTAATTATAATAATTCTTGCATTTGAAGTAGCATCTTTCACATTGGGAAGACGTCTCAAATTCCTTCCCAGTATTTACTATGAAGCATAATGAATGTGTATTTTGTAGATGAACGCAACCGCCAATTTGTGCAGATAAATATCCCACAAAACAGCCATGATGTGAATGACCAGTTTTATCTGAGAGAATGTTCAACAACAACAACAAAATTACATTTATGGAGCGCCGTTCATGTCGGGAGGACGTCCCAATGTACTGGCCAGTCAGGAGTCAGGACTCGAGCATGGGGGTGGTGTGGGGTGGAGGGAGGGAAGGCAGAGAGTTGGGAGGGCGACTGTAGGCACGATCGAAGAGGAGGCTCTTGAGACCAGCTGAGGACCGATGATGGAGGCGAGCGGAACAGAGCACTTGGTAGGGGACCATGAGGAAAACTCCTTAAATACATATTTCACCTGCATTGATTACAACATAGTATCAGTGCCAAGCTTAGGCAGCATTTTAATAAACACTTACAGCTCAGAACTGAAGCCACACTGGTAACGGCCCCCCCCCTGGCAGCCACTGACACAAGGTGGGATGCAATGGACTCCATGTTCAGTGTGAGTGGATCATTCACACCCTACTGACACATCAGAACTGATTTGCCATTCACAACACAACAGAGACAGCAGCAGATGCAGGTTGCAACAAACTGAAAACTTTTATTTTCTCAAGAGTCTGAAGGAGTGAGAGTCTGTTGGGATTTAAGGGGAAAGATAGGAAAGGGAGCAGCACAGAACGTAGAAAGGGCTTCCTGCCTGTGTGGTAGTTTCTCTTCAAAGAATGAAGAGCGAGCTTGCCTCTTCTCCCTGGAGCTTCCCTCTTTTCCCAACAAGACCCATCAGAAGTATTTGAGATTATGAAGCATTAGAAAATGTAGATTTCAGTGTGTTTTATTTAATAATGAATATTCCTTGCATTTGATATACTGCCTTATTATTTCACTGAAACGACTCAAAGCACTTCAAAGGATTTCAGTGAAGTTTGTGATTGTGTATTTGTAGGCGACATGGTAATCATTTCCGCACAGCAATGCCCCACAAACAGCCATGAAGTGAATGATCAATTGTATTTGGATGATTGACGGCCAGAACTCTTTTCGAATAGAGCTACAGTATCTTTAACATCCACGTGAACAGGTGGATGGAACATCTCATCTAAAGAACAGCAGCTCTGATAAAGCATTACTCATCCAGTGTCATCCTAAACTTGAGAACATACCAACAAACGAATAAGATGGACTTGAACCCACCACCTTCTGACTCAGAAACGAGAGTGATAACAACCGAGCCTGGCCAATACCTTTTCGGTAACTGATAGAAGCAACATCAGAAGGAAAGGAAGATTACTAGCAGTGGAAATAATCTAATAAATGACAGTCAACACAGTTGCAGAAGGTTTGCATCTTGTCTTATTAACTACAGACTTTTGTTTAAGGTGACATCCCAAACAAGAATTAGGCCATCTATGCTTTTTCATTATCTCCTGATCTCACTCTCTGGAACTCTATCCAAAGGCCCTATGACTCGCATCCTCCCTCACCTCTTTCAAAGTCTGTCTTAAGGCCTTCCTCTTTGACCGTGTCCTCATTCATTTTTCCCCTCTCCACCACCTCTCAGCTCCCACCCCAAGCTCCAGTGAAAAGCCAGAACTGTCAAGTGTTTTGGAACTTTCTCCCCATATCAAAGATGCTTATATAAATGTAAATTTTGCATTGTATTGTATCAACAATTTGTGGCAGCAGGATCAAAGAACATTTCTGGAAGTTACTGAACAACTAAACACTGTATTGTGGCTGTGTGAAGCTCCTGCATGAATTGTAAATAGATGGTGACAGTGCAGTCAGCCTGCCTCATTGTGGAGTCCTGTAGGTTGTGTTTAGAGCACTCGCTTGACAAGCGGGAGGACCTGGTTTGGCGAATTCCCAGGGAGGGCGAAATATTGGGCAAGTTCCTCTATTCCACACAACTCTGCTTACCTAGTAGTAAGTCGGAACCCGGTTGGTAGTCGATTGGTAGATCGCTTTTCCGGGGGTAATAATCCCTTCAAAATAAATAAATAACTTGGTCACTCAATCCATGACTGTTTGTGGGACACTGAGGTGCGCAATTGGCATCAGTTCACTTTATATTCAATTCTGTGAAGTGCTTTGAGACACCTCGAAGGCAGGATAAGGTGCTATATCACAGGCAAGGATTATTCGTGGAGTCCTGTAGCTCAGTGGTTAGAGCACTTGCCTTGTAAGCAAGACACCTGGGTTCAATTCCAGGCAGGGCGAAACCTTGGGCAAGTTTCCTTATTCCACACACCTAATAATAATCCCTCCAAAACAAAAACAATAATAATTGGTCATTTTCAATCCACGACTGTTTGTGGGACACTTCTGTGCGCAATTGGCTGCCGTGTTTCGTCCACAAATATACAGTCAATTCACTTACAGCATATTCTATGAAACACTTTGAGACGTCCAGAAGACGTGAAAAGCCCTATATCAAATGCAAGGATTATTATTATTATTATCATTATTATCTGGACCTGGAAGGGCATACCAGTCACTGGGGGCAGGGAGTCATCCCACTCAGCTCCTGTTAACCCTGCAAGCCAAAGCCCTAATAGGTAGAGTGGTCCTAGCTGGACAAGCAGCGGGAAAGCTCGCCAGACAGCAATATCAATGTCAAGTTACGTGGTTTTAGCTGGTTTGACTCCAGCAGTTACCTCAACACACAAGCTGCGATCCCCAAGCCTTGGCTCTTGCCAACCTATGCCTAATACTTTCCAGAATTGGGTAAGCATGATGTGTCCCTCCAGGGTGAGAGTACGTATTCCATTCCAACAATCTATCTCTGATATTTCCATGTGGAGGTGGGATACATGGGAGTCTCAGCTTGGTTTGGATACTTCTAAGCATGGTGATGGGTTTCTTCATGGGTCAGATACCTGACTGACCCCGCCACCAAAAATAATTTACAAATAAATGTGGCAGGATTAAAATGAAAGACTTCCTTAAAACATTTTTGCTTAAAATGGCTTAATGGCTTAACCGCTGTTGTAATCCAAGCCACTTGTGATCACAGAGAAAGCTATGACCTAGACCAGGGGTGGGCAAAAGACGGCCCGCAGACCATATTCGGCCCGCCAAATAATTCTATCCGGCTCGTCATTGTGTCTAGCAACAGAAAAAATTATAGTCCGTTCAGTCATTGAAGTGCAAAGTCATCCACCTAGGTAGCAAAAACAGTAGAGCGGGTTATTTTTTAGAAAGGGAGAGATTGGAATGTGTTAGCGTCCAGAGGGACTTGGGTGTCCTTGTACACCAATCACAGAAAGTTAGTCTGCAGGTGCAGCAATTAGGAAGGCAAACGGTATGTTAGCATTCATTCTGAAAGGATTAGAGTATAAGAGTAGGGAAGTCTTGCTGCAACTGTATAGGGTCCTGGTGAGACCACACCTGAAATACTGTGTGCAGTTTTGGTCTCCTTAGTTAAGGAAGGATGTACTTTCCTTGGAGGGGCTGCAGCGTAGATTTACGAGGTTAGTACCAGGGATGAAGGGGATGAGTTACGAGGATAGGCTGACCAATTTGGGCCTATATTCTCTGGAATATAGAAGAATTAGAGGGGATCTTATAGAAACCTATAAGATCATCAAAGGGCATGATAGAGGAGATAGTGGGAGATTGTTTCCCCTGGTTGGAGAAACTAAAACCAGGGGTCACAACCTTAAAATCAGAGGCCAGCCCTTTCACACTGAGTTGAGGAAGAACTTCTTCACTCAAGGGGTGGCGAATGTATGGAACTCACTACCCCAAAGGGCTATTGACGCTCAGTCCTTGAACATATTCAAGACTGAGATAGATAGATTTCTTATTGCAAAAGGGATTAAGGGATATGGGGATAAGGCAGGGTTAGGTTATTAGCTGGAGTTAGATTAGAAGATCAGCCATGATTGAATGACGGGGCAGGCTCGAAGGGCCGAATGGCCTACTCTTGCTCCTACATGTTATGTTATGTTAGTCCCAGAAAGTCGCATAAATTTCGCATTTGAATCTGACCGGGAACATCAGCCAATCACACTGCTTAGTTGTGCGCACGCTCCCTTAAGTGTTGAATCAGGCTGACATCAGAAATGCATGGATTGGCAAATTTTCAAAATCTCGCCTGCGGCAACCGTGGCAATACTTTTCACTGAAGAGGACGTTAATTTGAAATGAGTTTATCAAAGAAGCGGAAAGTGGACGCTGAAGGCCGAATATTCAACAGAGAATGGACGTCTAAATTTTTTTTAAAACCAGTGTGAGTAGAAAATAAAACAAATAAATAAATTTAAAAAAATAAAATAAATTAAAACATAAAATAAAGAAAGAAAATAAAAACAGTGTGCAGTTACAAAATGACGTAAGCAATTTTGCAGGTTTTTCACGCGCACTCGATGACAGTCATGATGTCAAAGACACAACCCAGTTGATAATTTTTATTCAAGGTATTACCAAACATCTTGAGCTCACAGAAAAATTGGCATCAATGCAGTCAATGAAAGATACGACAACTGAAGAAGACTTTTTGGAGGCAGTAAATAAGTGTATCTTAGAATTAGGAGTGGAGTGGAAAAAATTGGTGAACGCAACCACCGATGGAAGCCTGAATCTGACAGGAAAATGTTGGGTTACTGAAAAGAATTCAAGATCAAGTCAAAGAAGCAAATCCAGAACAGAATATTGTTTTTCTACACCGCATTATCCACCAAGATAGATCCTCTGTAAGATCTAAAACTAAGCAATATCGTGGACACAGTTACGAAAGTGGTCAACTGCATTCGAGCAAGAGGATTAAACCACAGGCAATTTGTAACTCTGCTTGAGGAACTGGAATCACATCTTACATTCTGTATCACACGAATGTAAGATGGCTTAGTTTAGGAAAGGTCTTGAAAAGAGTATGGGAACTGAGAACAGATATTAATTTATTTTTGGACATGAAACAAAAAGATTCGGATTTCCCACAGCTGAATAATGCGAATTGCCTCTCTGATTTTGCATTTGCCATTGATAACATGGGCCACATGAATGAACTGAATTCGAAACTGCAACAGAAGTGGGCCTTCGACCTCCAATTCAAGCTTATTGACCTGCAATGTGATCCTTGGCTTGTGGAGCAATTCAAATCGGTGACGCTTCCCAGTTTTTACGCCTCTCTGAATGAATATACCTTTCCAAAAATAAAGGCTCATGCCCGAGGATGCTTGTGCTGTTCTGATCAACATACATATGCGAGGAGACATTTTTTGTGATGAAATTCAAAAAATCAAAACATAGATCTGTGATGACTGATGACCACCTTGCAGCAGTTCTCCGCATTGCAACAATGGAGATGATGCCTGACTTAAATTGTCTGGTTAATGCACATCAGCGCTTTCATTCTTCGCATTGAGTGAGCTTCTCACATTCTCATCAACATGTGAATAAATGAATAAATATCGAATACATGTCTGCTCAATGAGTTGTTTTTATTTAACCTAATTTTAATGAATCTCAATTATATAGACTGTATTTGATGCATGTAGAAGTGTAAGACTTGATTTTGAACTATTATTAAGCATTTGCATCTATATAAAATGTGTGGCCCATGCAGCTTACCAAAACTCGTGAAGTGGCCCGCCAGCCAAAATAATTGCCCACCGCTGACCTAGCAGAACAATTACTGATGTGGACGTTTTTACATATTGCGGTGTTGCTTCACAAGCTTTTGAGATTTAGTGATTTGGATTTGCACATGCTTCCTGGAATTTTTGGAGGATTTCTATTGATGCTGGTGAATTAATAACCACAGGCTGTATGTGTTCACAGCCACTCCCAGTGTTTTAACATTCCAGCGGCAGCACATCTACTGTAGAAACATTGAATAACTATGACTATTGTAAACCACAAGTTAACACACATTTATTCCTTTTAGTCAGACATCCATTGAATATGTTGCATAAACAACACGCAATGGTTTCCCTCTAGTGGTATCACAGATACACAACACAAAAAACTTTTATAGTTTTGTAGAATTCTTTAATTTAACCTTCACAAAGTTGAGTGCAGCTGGCACAATGCAAAATGCTTATTAAATTTTCAACGTAAACTGCAAATAATAATAATAGAAGGGAACTTTATTTTTATTTGGATGCTGGATTGTCAAGGCAGATAAAGCAACTTTAACAAGAGAATTGAAAGAGAAAGGAGTCTTAATTGAAGACACAAGTCAATGCTGCTGCATTTCATCCACAAAATATACAGTAAATTCACTTTACTGTACATATTGTGTAAAACGCTTTGAGATGTCTCAAAGACTTGATCAGGCTCTACATAAAATTATTATCATTATTATAATGACAATTCAGGAAACACCCACAACACATTTTGGGGAATTTTATCTTGGTATTCACACAGAGTTTATCTTCCAAGTGTCTCAAACAGATATATAACTACCAAGTAGTCTCTTGTGATAAGCTGTGTAAGAGTGGAACTGAGCAATAAGATCAGCACAACTAGGTTGCTGCATTGGTCAGAAAGACAATAATGAAAATTAATGCTGAATCCCTGATACAATTTGGGAGAAAAAGATCTGTACCAAGTGTTAAAACTATAAAAGTGTGGAAGAGATGAGAGATGTAAGGATTAGCAAACACAAATTGTTAAAACTGAGAGAGCAGGTTGATAAGGCTGTTAAATAAAAGTTGGGCAACAACTGGAACCCAGGGGAACCCCATTCTGGTGCCCTTCAATAGATCTCTGCCTTGCTCAGACCACTTCCTCATTTCTCTTTCCTCTCATATCACTCTCCCCTCCTCCAAGCCTCCACCATCTTTTTCCGCCCATGGAAAAAAAAAGCTTTGTCCCGAGCCCCTCACAATCGTCCTCTCATCCTCTGATGTTCTCTCCCCCTTGCCTTCGACCCGCAGTGATCCAGACCAGCCATCAAGAGGCAAAACCATCACCTCTCCTCAACCTTCAATTGCCTTGTCCCCCTAAAAACGGCCACCGCCAATCATGGCTCGAGCATCTTCACACTTATCGCTATGCCCTCTCTCAAGCCAAAATTGCTTTCTACTCACAGGTCATTCTTAAGGCCAACAACAAATCCCCAAATCTTGTTCTCCATGACCCACCACCTCGTCCACGTGCCCTCCCAAGTACCCTCAATCCTCACTTCTGAAGAGGTTATGGACTTCTTTATCTCTACAATAGTTAACATCTGCCTGGCTGCCTCCTCCTACTTCCCCCCCACCCATGTCTCCTACCACCCCGCCCAATGCCCTCCATTACCCTATCCTCCTAGCACGGTTCCAACCACGGCTCATATCATGGCCCCCACACCACACTTTGCCCCCAAGTCTTCCTCTTCCCTTTCGCTTACCATCTCCCAGATGAAGCCCACCAGCTTCTGGTCACCCAACTCCACCTTCTCTGCCCACTGCTGTCTGACACAATCAACTAGTCCCTCTCCTCAGGCTCTGTCCCACTCCCACTCAAAACTGCTGTCAAAAACTCCGACACTCACATCAATGGCCACCCACTAGACCTGGTAATCACCTGGGGTTTTACCGTCTCTGATGTCACCATCACTGACAATGACATTTCAGATTACTATTTCAATTCCCGCCTAAAGACCTTCCTCTTTGATCGGGCTCACGGTCATCTCCCCCCTCTCTCCCCCCCGGCTCGGTGTCAGACTCCGCCACTGTCAAGTTCTCCGGGACGCTATCCTGCATGAAGGGTGCTATATACATGTAGGTTGTTATTTGTGGGGCATTGATGTGCACAAATTGGCTACTGCTTACAAAACACAGTCACTACACTTGACATTAAATCCTGTGAAGCATGTTGGGACCTCTTCCCAAGGTGATTAAATCAAATTTAAGCTTGATTAGTATTATGGCTACAGGACTTTCTTGGTCGAGAAAAAGCCCAAACATACACATCCATTTCTCTGCCTAATTCAGGACGACGAGGAAAGGCAGCGGATTTGTTTTCAGAGCGCCAGCACAGGTGCGATAGGCCCAATAGCTTTTAATAAAAAGAAGAAATAACACTAATAATGCTTGCATTTGATAATCTGGCCTTTCAAGTCAGAGCACTTCACAGGATATACTGTAATGTGTAGTATTTGTAGGCCAATGCAGCAGCCAGTTTGGGCAAAGCAATACCCAATGTCGATCTGTACAGCTCAGTTGTGCTGCATTTCAATTATGGTGATTGTGGTGGTGTGTGGCCAAAGCCTTTGGTTCCTTATATATCTAGGGCTCAAATATACTCTTTCTAATATACAGTTTCATTTCTGCATTTAAATAAGGCAACTCCCAGATCAATGTCTGCTCCTTGACCTTAATTTTAAGTTTAGTTTGTTGCATGGTTTCCTCCTTTCTTTTTTTTAAAAAAACAGAAAACTTACACACAAACACCATCCCCATAACACATGTACACACACACACATTGATAAATACATTACCCCAACTCCACACCTTCCAATAACGATAAGATATTCACTGGAAACTTACCTGAAATCAGGAAAACACCAACAAAATAGCTGCAACCCCACATAGTTTTCCTTTTGCTGCGCAAATCCAGCCAGAATCGAGAGGTGAAAAGGTGGCTTTGGGAAAATGACAACCAGACCCTGGCAATGGTAGCACTGAGCTGGGCAAGAAGAGAGACTTTACAGTGACTTAGGCCAGAGCAGCTTCACACAGGGAAAAAAATAAACCAGCGATTGGAAACCCAGAACCTCTACAACACTACTTGACGAGCCAGAGTCAAACCACTCTAATGTCGATCCTTCCTTCCTTCCTTTCTTTTTTAAAAACAAATGTAAAGTATCGCATGCGTCTTTCCTAGGAAATAAAATAATAATACAATAAAGCACTATAGAGATCAGGTAAACCGTGGTCTCTCATCCTTAAAATGGTCAGATTTGGGAAACCTTGTATCTTGTAAGTGGAAGAAATTGCTATGTATCTGTCTCTCTCTCTCTCTCTCTCTCCACTTCCTGGTTTGGCTTGAAGGCCCAGCTTAGAGCTGGTTACTCCCTCCTCCACTCACACTGTAGGCTTTCTGCTGCCAGTCAATTTTTTTAAAATGCAAACTTTAAACATGAATTTTTTTTCCCCACTAAATCCCATATTGAATGGTTATAAACCCCCAATTTCCCACCGCCTCCCTGCTAATAGCATCCTGGCTGTCTTTGCCGTAGGGTTGACTTATTCCGGAAGGTTTTATCGCATGACATGGCTTTGTGCCAGGAATGAAAGTTTTCCTGGCGAATTGTTTATTACACAGATGGCAATTTGTCCCCAGTGGAAATGAAAGGATCAGTGTGTCTATCAGATTTCTTATGTGCAAGTAAAGTTGAAAAACAGATCTGTTGCTTTTGAAAGTGCAAAACGCTGCAATTGCTCGTGAGCCAGAGTTATGTTTATATTAGAATACACAGCACAGAAGCAGGCCATTCGGCCCAACTGGTCTTTGCCGGTGTTTATGCTCCACATCAACAACAAAATTTAAGTTATAGAGCGCATTTCACGTTGGGAGGATGTCCCAAACGGTCAGATGTCGGGGCCCAAGCATGGGGGATGTTTGTTTTCAGGGTGAGGGAAGCCAGAGAGGTGGTAGGGCGACCAAAGGCACGGTCGAAGAGAAGGGTCTTGAGACCGGCCTTGAAGGAGGCAAGGGAGGAAGCGAGGCGAAGGGATCATGGGATGGAGTTCCAGAGTGTAGGGGCAGAGAGAATGAAATCCCGATGGTAGGGCGGGTCGGGCGGGAGACATGAAGCATGCCGGAGCCTGCTGAACGGAGGAAGTGGGCAGGTTGGTGGGGAAGGTCAGAGAGGTAGGAGGGGGCAAGGCCATGGATGGATTTAAAAGTGAGGACAAGGATCTTGAACTCGATCCTCTGGGGGATGGGGAGCCAGTGGAGTCGGGCGAGGGTGGGAGTGATGGGGTCGCGGAGCCTGGTGCGTAAGAATACACGAGCTGCAGAGTTTTGGATAATCTGCAGCTTGTGAAGGGAAGAGATGGGAAGGAATTTACCCCATGTCTGCAGATGATGTCACCAAGGGGGAGCATGTAGTGGGTGAAGAGGAGGGGACCGAGGACAGAGCCCTGAGGAACAGGCACGAGACAGTGAGGGGGCTGGAGGAGCAGCCGTTTGCCGCAATGAAGTGGAGATTGTGTGAAAGATAGGACCTGAACCAGTTAAGGACAGAGCCTTGAAGGTTGAGGTGGGAGGAGAGGCAGTGGAGGAGGATTGAGTGGTCCACTGTGTCAAAGGCAGCGAAGAGGTCGAGTAGGACGAGGAGGCAGAGGGAGCTGTGGTTGCACATGGTCAAGATGTCGTTTGTGATCTTGACCAGAGCAGTTTCCGTGCTGTGTGCAGCACGGAAACCCAATTGGAGGGGTTCATGGAGGGAATGAGGAGATGAAACAGCGAAGCTGGGAGGTGACGGCTTTCTCAAGGACCTTGGACAGGAAAGGGAGATTTGAGATGGGCCGGTAGCTAGATAGCTGTGATGGGTCAAGCGAAGATTTCTTCAAGGTGGGGGTGATGATGGCTGTTTTGAGGGGGGAAGGAATAGTGCCAGATGACAAAGGGAGGTTGATGATGTTGGCAAGTAGTGGGGCAAGGAGGCGGAGCTGGGATTTAAGGAGCAGGGTGGGGATGGGGTCCAGGGAGCAGGTGGTGGGCCGCATGGAGGATATGGTGGTGAAGACAGAGGAGGGGTTGACAGGTTCAAAGGTGTGGAAGGAGGAATGGGTAATTGTCGGAGTGTGGGGTGGTGCTAGGGAAGGGGTGGAAGTTGGGAGCAAGTTTTTGCTTATACTTCAGTAGTTCACAACGGTAATGAAGTGAATCAAGCCAAATACCTGACAAATGTCAGCCTGGCTCAGTGGTAGCATTCTCACCTCTGAGTCAGAAAGTTGTGCCCCATGTTGGGACTTGGAATCACAGAGTCTAAACTGACACTCCAACGCAGTGCTGGGGGTGTTGCATTGTCAGAGGTAGATCGGATTGTGGACATAAGGCCCAAGCTGTGGACAGGAAGATGGTGGCAATGCTCGTCCACATTTCAGGCTGAGCTGCGTTGCCCACTGGGAAGCTCACAGGGAGTTACTGGTACCTACCATCCACCTAGTGAGGGATCAAACCCGAGCTTGTCGGGTGTCGAATGACCAACTACGAACTATCCTCCTTGTGGGTGGTGGGGGGGGAAGGGGAGTTAACAGCCTAACCAGCCTGGCTCATCGGCAGGACTTTGGCCCATCGATCTCATTCCTCCGGAACCCTAACCTCCATCACTGCAGCCAGCTGCTTTTTAAACCAGTTCAGTATCCTGGCCTCTACCACCTTTCCGAGCAAACCCTTCCAGTTGTTGATTACTATCTGCGTAAAGAAAGACAACCTCATATCTGTTCTGAAAATACAGAAAATTTCCTGCAGCTGAATGTTGGTTAGAAGGAAGCCGTAGTCTTTGCCTACCGTCCATGTTTTCTCTCCAGCAGGTCTGAAATCCTCAATCTCCCCAGGCTCAACTTCAGACTCTCTGAAGCCGTGCGCAACTTAGGCGTCAACAGCGGTTGCCTTTCCAGGACACTTTTTTCCATCTCCGTCAAATTTCCCACCTCCATCTGTACTTCACAACGAATACAATGGAAACCCTCATCTATTCCTTTGTCACTTCCCGGCTGGATGTTTCAATGCCCTCCTCATTGGTCTCCCCAGCTTCACTGTACACAAAATGCAATTCATTAAAAACTCCACCATCTGAATACTCGCCCGGTGAATCTCCGTACCACCATCACACCAGTCCTTGCCAGGCTCCACTGCCTCCCAATTACTGAATGGATTGATTTCACGATACTCTCACTCGTTTTCAAATCACTTAATTCCCTCTCAACTTCCTACCTATCCGATTTGCTTACCACCCACTCCACCACCCACTGCCTCCGTTCGGCTGGTGCCGACCTCCTATTTGTCTCTCATGCTCTCCATTCCACCATCGGTGGCCGTGCCTTCAGCCACTACGTGCCGAAACTGAAACTCTCTCGCTCAATCCCTCTGCCCTGTCCCCTTCCTCCCCACCTTCAAATCCTGCCTGAAGACCTTCCTTTGCTTATTGAATTTGAAATTCAAATTAAATTTCGGCCACCTCCCCCTCCCCCACTTTTCTGGGCTTGGTGTCAGACTCCGCCACTGTAAAGCTCTCCAGGACGCAATCCCGCATGAAGGACGCTATACAAATGCAGGTTGTTGTTGTTATATTGTTCCAAAACTCGTACCAGGACTGCAATAGATTGTCAGCCTAGACTGCCAGTTCTGAACCTCAACCTATTGTCTCCCCATTAAAAATAGTCTTTTTAAATTGGACAACAGAGCTACCAATTGAGCCAGGCTGACTTACCTGGCTAAGCACAGTCCAACCTCACTATTCCAGTCACTCAAGGGACTGGACAAAAGTGACCTTCTGAGTGACGTTTCCCCACCCTCTGTCACCAAACTCATCCTATCCCTGAAACCCACCACCTGCTCCCTTGATCCCATCCCCACTCCATTCCTTATCTCCCAGCTCCACATCCTTGCCCCATATATCACAGACATTGTCAACCTGTCCCTCTCCTCTGGCTCTATTCCCATTCCCTTAAAAACTGCCACCATCACTCCCACCTTAAAAAAACCTTCCCTTGATGCGTCGCAGCTATCAAGCTACCGGCCCATCTCCAACCTCCCCTTCCTGTCCAAGGTTCTGGAACGAGTTGTCGCCTCCCAGCTGCGCTCTTTAGCTAAAGGAAACTTGCGCTTATCCAGCTCCTGATGTCTGACAGGCAGGCTGACAGAACATCAGGGGACTGGGGGTTGCAAAGTGAGGTGGAAAAATAGAGTTGGGTGTCATCTGCATACATGTGGAAGTGTACCCATTTCTGCGGATGACATCCCCAAGAGGGAGCATATACATCAGAAAGAGGAGGGGGCCAAGGATGGATCCTTGGGGTACCCCTCAGGTAACCAGGTGAGAACCAGAGGAAAAGCCATTTGTGCAGATGTACTGCTGGCGGTTCGTGAGGTAGGACTCGAACCAAACGAGTGCGTTCTCACTGAGGTGGATGACGGAGGAAAGGCGATGGAGGAGGATGGCGTGATCAACTGTGTCGAAAGAAGCGGAGAGGTCCAGGAGGATAAGGAGGCAGAGGGAGCCCTGGTCACAGAGAGAGAGGATGTCATTGGAGGCTTTCGCAAGTGCAGTCTCTGTACTGTGGGCAGGGCGGAAGCCGGACTGGAGGGGTTCGAAGAGGGAGTGGGAGAAGAGGTGTGCACGGAGTTGGTTGGCAACAACGCATTCTAGGACTTTGGCGAGGAAGGGTAAGTTTGAAATAGGGCGGCAGTGGCGAGGATTTGAGGGATCTAAGGAGGATTTCTTGAGGAGGGGGATGATGACAGCAATTTTGAGGGGGGCAGGGACTGATCCAGAGGAGAGGGACTGGTTGATGACATCAGCCAGTAGTGGGCAGAGGAGCGGGAGCTGGGTGACCAGCAAGTTGGTGGGGAGGGGGTCGAGGCAGCAGGTGGTGGATTTCATTGAAGTGATGGTGGGTGAGAGGGAGGAAGGAGAGATGGGGAGGAAGGAATGTAAATGGGGGTCATGGTAGGAACTGACAATGGGGAGGGTGAGGGGGACTGAGAAGGGGTGGTGGTGGGTGACAAGAGACAGGAGGATGAGGCTGCATGGCGGATGTTATGTATTTTGGATGAAAATAAATGACCTCCTCGCACTTGGCATTAGATGTGAAGATTGAGAAGGCCTGAGGGGGCGCACGGAGGAGGTAGTGGGTGGTGGAGAAGAGGACTTTGGGATTGTTTTTGCCTCCAAGATGATGTTGGAGTAGAAGGCCGTTTTCATGCATGTCAAAAACGGCAGTAACTGTGGAGATGCTCGAGCCACAGTTGGTGGTGAACTGACAGGCCAGTTTTCCGCCATCTGCGCTCGAGCAGCTGGGTTTGCGTTCTTAGGGAGCAGAGATGATTGTGTGCCAGGGGAATTGGGTGGGTTTGGAGATGGTTTTCAGGGGGACAAGAGAGTTGAAGGTGGAGGAGAGGCTATCATGGAACAGCTGGACGGCTGCTTCAGGATCTCTGCGGGTGGAATATTTATCAGGAGGGCCTCAGTCTTGTTCACATTCAACTGTAGGAAATTTGCCCTAATCTGGGATTTGATGTCCGACAGGCAGTCTGTCAGGACAGTAGTGGTCCTGGAGTTGAGTGTGGAGGGAGAAAGATAGACTTGGGTGTCATCCGCATACATATAGAAGTTGACCCCATGTCTGCGGGTGATGTTACCAATAACACACATAATAATAATAAATTATTCTTGCGTTTACATACCTATAATGTTGAAATAGCTCAAGGTGCTTCACAGATAATGTGCAATTACTATGCATTTGTAAACAAACATGTCAGACATTTTGCACAACAGTAAGGTCCCACAAATAGCCATAAAGTGAATAATTTATTTATTTTGCCAGAACACATGGAAAAATTCCCTTCCTTTTTCAAATAGTGTTATGGGATATTTAATGTCCAGGCAGATGCCTTAACCAGAAGATGCCACTTTCAACATTTGCAATGCTCCCCAGTATGACACTGAAGTGTCAGTCAAGCCTGAGTCGATAATCCTGACGTGGGGCTTAAACGTAGAACCTTCTCAGTGGCCAACACAAACAAAAATTCTATACAATGTGTTCTTCAGGCGCATAAACTTTCTTCTCAGCAGTTGATCAATTATGTTACAGGATCTTCTTCAAGCTGGTGATGGTCTCTTTCCTCCCCAGAGTTATCAGCTGCTTTACACTTATTCCAATTTGTAGCACGTTTTATACAACATAACTAAGCCACTAAAACAAATGAATAAATAAAGTGAGCAGCATTCCACATAGTTGACTTAACCTTAGGAAACATTTTACATGTATTTGCAATTTTTTAATATACACAAGAGGGTCTAATGAAGAATATCAGCCCCATAGATTCAGTGCCCTGGCCTCAATCATCCTTCCTGCTAATAACTTGCAACTGTTACTTTCTACCATTTTTGAGGTGCAAATGTCACATGTGATGTTTTATGTGGTCAATCCTTTTGACATTCAATGGACTTGAGCTCAGTAACTGGAAAGTATTTATTTAAGATAGTAGAAGATAAGCAAATGGGAGGTTAGGAGACTTTTTTTCACACACAGAGTAATTAGGATATGGAATGCCCTGTTGGGAGCAGTGGTTCAATCAGAATCTCTATTAGCCTTCATAGAAAATTGTAGCACAGAATCAGGTCATTTGGCCCAATAGTCTATGCCAGGGATTATATTCCACACAAGCCTCCGCTCATCCTAATCCCCTCCCCCGTACCCCAATCTTCCTTGCTCCCATTAAATAATGGACCAAATTTCCTTTTTAAATACGTTATATGTTAATAGAGTTCTGAAGCAATATTTCTGTTATCTGGTCTGATCGGGACGTGCCAGCCAGTATGTCCCAGCTAAGGCAGTTGACAATATACCGGCCGACTTTATGCTGATCGGAGGGGGCTTTGTGTCGCCAGGAAGAGATCTTATTGCAGAGCTGGAGGAACAGCAGCCATTGTGCAACATGTCCTGAAGGAAATCTTACAGGAAATTGAAACAAATGTCCGATAATGCAGGATTGAGAAATTTATTGCCTCATGATTGCTCGGGAACTGGATAAATATCTGAAAAGGAGTAAACTAAAAGGCTATGGGGAAAGAGCAGGTAAATGGACCTGAAAAAGATTACTCTTAAAGGAGCTAGCTCAGTCTTGATGGGCTGAATAATCTTCTGTGTCCAGAGTTTGGCACAATGGTTCGAAACTGCCTTAAAACTTTGGCAATCACCAAAGCTGTTTCTGTACTTCGAGCAAGGTGTTACATTACACAGGTTCTGTACAACATGGGCAGCCACTGTCTTTCCATGTTAAATTAGTCCTTTTTGAAAGTTCATCAAAAACAAACACTTGTACCTAATTTCCCAGCTGTTCTTAACTGCTGTCTGTCTGGTTGGCTCGCTGTTCACAACTGACATCTCACTAATCTGCTACCCAGATCTAAACTTGAACAAATCAATTGACTTTCGTGCCCCCATCATTAATTTAAATTATTACCAAATGAGTCTCTTGCTTCTTTCAGATTTGAAATTGATCCACACCAACTTACCATGTTTAGAAATTGATTGATATACTAGTGCTATTCCTACCAATAAAAATGGTGGAATTAAAACGAAAAAGATGAAATAGCGGTGGCGTTGATACATAACCCCTAAGAAAAACAGAATAAAATATTTATCAATATGAACCTTCAGACTCATCTCTAATGTTATTGAACAGTATAGGCACATTTTTCACAATTTAAACACTTGATGCGTTTTATATTAATCCTTCATTCATTATAGCGCCTTACCTCAGCGTTGCAAAGCACTTCACAAGATTTACTAAAACGTTTAGTTACTGTATTTACATAAACCTCTCTGTACTCTACAATTTAAGACAAATTATTAAAAATCGCAAACAACAACTTGCATTTATATAGCGCCTTTCACATGGGGTAACGTCTCAGAGCACTTGACAGTGACTGAGTACAACAACGTGCCAGGGGAGATGGAAGGTGACTGTAAGCACGATCAAAAAGGTCTTTAGGCGGGATTTGAAAGTGGGCAGGGAAGGGGCAAGGCAAAGAGATTGAGGGAGAGAGTTCCAGTGTTTCAGTGCAAAGTGGCTGATGCACAGCTACTGATGGTGGAGCAGAGGGGACGAGGAACAAAGAGGAGGCCAGAGCCATAGGGGGTAATAATAATACTTGCATTTGATATAGTGCCTTATCATGTCTTTGAGACTTCTCAAAGCAGAAGTGAATTGATTGTATTTTGTGGGCGAAACTCGGCAGCCAGTTATGAACAGCAGTGTCCCAAAAACAGTCGTGGATCGAGTGACCACATTATTATTATTTTTTTGAAGGAATTATCACCCCCGGAATAGCGATAGGTAGGGAGGTGCAAGGGAATTAAGTGATTTAAAAACGAGTGAGAAGATCCTGAAATCGATCCATTCAGTAATTGGGAACCAGTGGAGCGTGGCGAGGACTGGTGTGGTTGAGGGTACAGAGTTTTGTGCAAGTGAAGCAGCAGGAGAATTTTGAAATAGTTGAATTCTGTGAATGGTGGAACTGGTGAGACCAGCAATGAAGGCATTGGAATAGTCCAGCTGGGAAGTGACAAAGGTGTGGACGAGCTGCACTCCTTGTGAGGTATGGACAGAGGTGGGCAATGAGACGGAGGTGGAAAAAGGCGGGTTCTGGTCAGGGAACCGATGTTTGGTAGAAAGGAAAGCTGGGGATCGAACCTGACGTCTAAGTTGCACACGGGTTCGGTGAGTCTGAGGGAGAGCCCGGGGAGGTTGAGGAGTTCAGACCCGCAGGAGAGAAAAGAGAGCCAAAGAGGATGTCTTCCGTCTTGCCAATATTCAGCTGCAGGAAATTTGCGCTCATCCAGGCCTTGATGGCTGTCAAACAAGCTGACAGGGTATCAGCAGACTGGGAGTTACAGCTGGAGGAGGAGAAATAGATTTGTGCATCATCCGCATAGATGTGGAAGTTGACCCCATGCCTGCAGATGACATCGCCGAGAGGGAGCATGTAGAAAGGAAAAGGGGGGCTAGGAGGAGCTAGGGGTACCCCGCAGATGACTCGGTGGCAGTGGGAGGAAAAATCATTTGCCAAGATGTATTGTTGGTGGTTTGTTAAGTCGGACTCGAACCATACGAGTTCAGTTCCATTAAGGTAGATGAGGGAAAAGAGACAGTGAAGGATGGTGTGATCGATTGCGTCGAACACAGCAGAGCAGTCTAGGACAGGGGTGGGCAATTATTTTGGCTGGCGGGCCACTTCACGAGTTTTGGTAAGCTTCGCGGGCCACACACTTAATATAGATGCAAATCCTTAACAATAGTTCAAAATCAAGTCTTACACTTGTACCTGCATAAAATAAAGTCTATATGATTGACATTCATTAAAATTAGGTTAAATAAAAACATCTCTTTGAGCAGACACTTATTCAATATTTATTCATTTATTCACGTACTGATGAGAATGTGAGAAGCTCACTCAATGCGAAGAATGAAAGGACTGATGTGCATTAACCAGACAATTGAAGTCAGGCATCGTCTCCGTTGTTGCAATGCGGAGTACTGCTGTTTTGATTTATTGAATTTCATCACAGAAAATATCTCCTCACATATGTATGTTGATCCAAATAGCACAAGCATCCTCCAGGCATGAGTCTTTATTTTTGGAAAGGTATATTCATTAAGAGAGGCGTAAATCTGATTTGAATTGCTCCGCAAGCAATGGATCACATTGCAGGTCAATAAGCTCGAGTTGGAGGTCAAATGAGCCTTTGTCAACATCAAATGAGAAAGGTGACGAGACCAAAGACAGATCATTTTCAATCAAATTGAAATCTTGGAATCGGCGAGAAAATTCGGCATGTAAATCAAGCAGTGACGAAGTATACTTTTTAAGGCTTTGATCGCAAACAGTAATCTGCTACAAAGTTGGAAAGTGGGCGAACAATTTTGTCATAAATGCCTTGACACTGCAATACAAATTGTGGGAAAATCAAACCTTTTTGGTTCATGTCCCAAAATAAATCAATCTCTGTTCTCAGTTCCCACACTCTTTTCAAGACTTTTCCTAAACTAAGCCATCTTACATTTGTGTGATACAGAACATCCATGTGCTCGGATTCCAATTCCTCAAGCAGAATTACAAATTGCCTGTGGTTTAATCCTCTTGCTCGAACGTAGTTGACCAATTTCGTAACTGTGTCCATGACATTCCTTAGTTTTAGAACACTCTTACAGAGCTCCTCTTGGTGGATAATATTAATATTCTCAAAGAGCTTCACAGAATATATTGTAAAGTGAATGCACTATATATTTGTAGGCAAAACGCGGCAGCTAATTGCGCACAACAGTGTCCCACAAACAGTCATGGATTAAAGTGAACAACTTTTTTGGTTTTTTTCATGACAATCAAAAAAAAATGCAGTGTAGATAAACAATATTTTGCTCTGGATTTGTTTCTTTGACTTGATCTTGAATTCTTTTCAGTAACCCAATATTTTCCTGTCAGATTCAGGCTTCCATTGGTGGTCACATTCACCAATTTTTTCTAATCCACTCCTAATTTTAAGATACACTTATTTACTGCCTCCAAAAAGTCTTCTCCAGCTGTTGTATCTTTCATCATTGATGCCAATTCTTCTGTGAGCTCAAAATGTTTTGTGATACCTCAAATAAATATTATCAACTGGGCTGTATCTTTGACATCACAACTGTCACCAAGTGCCAGTGAATAACATGCAAAATTGCTTACTTTATTTTGCAACTGCACACTGTTTTTATTTTCTTTACTGATTTTATTTTTAATTTATTTTTATTTGATTTCTTTTACTTTTTAATTTATTTTTATTGTACTTATTTTATTTGTTTTCTTTTCCACCCACACTGGTAAAAAAAAATTCAGAAGTCCATTCTTGTGGAATATTCGTTTCTTTGAAAAACTCATTTCAAATTAACATCCGCTTCAGTGAAAAGTATTGCCACGGTTGCCGTGCACGGGTTTGAAAATTTGCCAATCTGTACATTTCTGACGTCAGCCTGATTCAACACTTAAGTGAGCGTGAACACAACTAAGCAGTGTGTTTGGCTGATGTTCTTGGTCAGATTCAAATGCGAAATTTGTGCGACTTTCGGGGACTGAATGAACTATAATTTTTTCTATTGCTAGACACAATGACGGCCGGATAGAATCATTTGGTGGGCTGGATACGGCCCGCGGGCCCTTCTTTTGCCCACCCCTGGTCTAGGACGAGGAGGCAATGGGAGCCCAGGTCAGAGAAGACGTCATTTGTTACTTTGTTGAGCGCTGTCTTTGTGCTGTGCGCAGGGCAAAACAGGACTGGAGGGTTTTGAGTAGGGAGTGAAGGAAGAGGTGTAGGTGAAGTTGATTTGCAATATCGCGTTACAAAACTTTGGCCAGGAACGGCTGGTTTGAGAAGAGTCTGAAGTTTGTCAGGTTGTGCAACATTCAGCAGCAAATCAGCCTCCTTCAGGGAAGCAAATTTCTTCATAGTCTTATGTACTGCTTTGCAGAATGTAATAGATCAAAAGATTGAAGGAGTGAAAGAAGGACAAAAGAAGGAGCTGTCCTCTCAGCATAGGTTTTGAGCTCATACAGATAAATAATCAATTGAATGAAAAAACTCACCGTCACAATCCTCCATTTGAAAAGGATCGCTTTCTTCACTATTTCCTGGTTGGTTTACAATACAAACATACGCTCCCTTGTTATTTAAGGGATCTTTTATTACCAGTAAATGGTCAGTAATGGGATCATTGTCCTGGAGTTCCACTCTTTTGTATATCCACTTTATTTTAACTAAGTCTTCATTTGAAGTAACATTTTTGTTGCAAATCATATGAACAACAGAAAGATTCCCGTTGCATGTAATCTTTGGCTTTGAAAGTGGGTCTGGAAAAAAAATCCCAGAAACAAATGTGTTTTAACCACGTATTAAGAACAACAATATAATAATCCCTGTATTTGATATGGCACCTTTATAAGGTAATTGAAATTAAGGACTGGAAGGAAAGAGTTGTGTAAGAAAACTGGCTTTCCGTGAGATATCACAGAGACTAACAATCTTTTGTTTGACTCCCCCAACCTTGAAAAGACATACAGTCACTGAGAATGGCTTTGAGGTCTCGTTAAATGAGCAGAAATGTTGGGAACTCTATATCTATACTATACCTTATCATCATCAAATCCTCTTTTCACAGGGTTTACTGTATAGTACAGTGTCTGTGATTTTTGGCAAATATACAGCCAATTTGCACACAGCAATATCCCACAAACACCCATGAAGTGAATGCCCAATTTTATGTTGGACATGAGGATAAACTCCCATCTCTTTTTGAACAGTGCCATGAGATCTTTAATATCCATCTGAACAAATGGACAGCACCTCAGTTTAACATCTTACCCGGAGGACAGCGTCTCTGACAATGCAGCGCTTTTTTTTACCTCCAATCTACTTTTGCAGGCAAGGAATCATTTACAATGTAATTTTCCCGACCAGTAATTTTCACGATCAGTGCTGGTTAATTTCCACGGAGTAGGTTATCAGAAAAGAAAGTTTTTAGAAAGAAGCGGCAGGTTATCTAGAAAACAATAACTTACCAAGTACCGTTAGGTTGTACTTAAACTCTTCAGTATTGCCATCTTCAAATGTGTATTCCAATGTGTAGATACCGACATCTTCTTTCCTTAATTCATTGATTGATAAAGTGTTTTTGTTAATCACAGTTCTTCCTCTATACGGCTGATAATATACAGGCTCTTTGGACAGATCTGACCAGTCCACGATCTTGTCATGTCTAAACTTCCAGACTATTTCTATTGTACCTTTGGGACTCTTAAAAGAGAAGGATATATCCTGGTTCACCATTCTATATTCTGTATATACTTTCTGGATCGACGCTGAAACTGGAGAAAAATAGAAGTTGAATAGCAATGAAGATCATTATTAATTATAATAATTCTTGCGTTTGAAGTAGCATCTTTTACATTGGGAAGACGTCTCAAATTCCTTAGATGAACGCAACCGCCAATTTGTGCAGATAAATATCCCACAAAACAGCCATGATGTGAATGACCAATTTTATCTGGGAGAATGTACAACAACAACAACAACAAAATTACATTTATGGAGCGCCGTTCATGTCGGGAGGACGTCCCAACGTGCTGGCCAGTCAGGGGTCAGGACTCGAGCATGGGGGTGGTGTGGGGTGGAGTGAGGGAAGGCAGAGAGGTGGGAGGGCGACTGTAGGCACGATCGAAGAGGAGGCTCTTGAGACCAGCCTTGAAGGAAGTGAGGGAGGAAGCGAGGTGAAGGGACTGTGGTATGGAGCTACAGAATGTGGGGGTAGAGAGGCTGAAAGCTCGGCAACCGATGGTAGGGCGAGTTGGGCGGGAGACCTAGAGCAGGCTGGAGCCCGCTGAACAGAGGGAGCGGACAGGTTGGTAGGGCCAGAAACTCTTTTTCCTTTTTAAATAGTGCATTGGGATTTTTTAACATCCACCTGAAGTGGCAGATGGGACCTCTTTTTATTTAGCATCTGAAACAAAGGACGGCATCTCCAACAATACAATACTCTCTCCACACTGCATTGGAGTGTCAGCCAAGGCCATATGTGTTCAAAGTGCCGACATAGGCTTGAACCCTTGTGTGTGCAGTGTGCCCCTGTATTCACTTGCACTTTCTAATAAGGGGCACTGCACAGAGCTCAGAAACTGAAAGCCATCACTGTTGTTTAACCCCTTCCGGCCCTGCAAAACTGGTCAACAGGACTTTCCCTTTGCTGTTTGCAGCCACTTGACAACAAGGTGGGGATTGCAATGGGGACTTTCCATGTTTTCAATGTCTCAGTGTGAGTGGGGATTCATTCCTACAATCAACCAACTAAACCTGACTTACACTCAGAACTGATTTGCCATTCACAACACAACAGAGACAGCAGCAGATGCAGGTTGCAACAAACTGAAAACTTTTATTTTCTCAAGAGTCTGAAGGAGTGAGAGTCTGTTGGGATTTAAGGGGAAAGATAGGAAAGGGAGCAGCACAGAACGTAGAAAGGGCTTCCTGCCTGTGTGGTAGTTTCTCTTCAAAGAATGAAGAGCGAGCTTGCCTCTTCTCCCTGGAGCTTCCCTCTTTTCCCAACAAGACCCATCAGAAGTATTTGAGATTATGAAGCATTAGAAAATGTAGATTTCAGTGTGTTTTATTTAATAATGAATATTCCTTGCATTTGATATACTGCCTTATTATTTCACTGAAACGACTCAAAGCACTTCAAAGGATTTCAGTGAAGTTTGTGATTGTGTATTTGTAGGCGACATGGTAATCATTTCCGCACAGCAATGCCCCACAAACAGCCATGAAGTGAATAACCAATTGTATTTGGATGATTGACGGCCAGAACTCTTTTCGAATAGTGCTTTATCTTTAACATCCACGTGAACAGGTGGATGGAACATCTCATCTAAAGAACAGCAGCTCTGATAAAGCATTACTCATCCAGTGTCATCCTAAACTTGAGATCTCAAAGGCCCCACATGGTACTTGAACCCACCACCTTCTGACTCAGAAGCGAGAGTGATAACAACCGAGCCTGGCCAATACCTTTTCAGGAACTGATAGAAGCAACATCAGAAGGAAAGGAAGATTACTAGCAGTGGAAATAACCTAAAAAAATGACAGTCAACACAGTTGCAGAAGGTTTCCATCTCGTCTTATTAACTACAGACTTTTGTTTAAGATGACATCCCAAAGAAAGAATTAGGCCATCTATGCTTTTTCATTATCTCCTGACCTCACTCTCTGGAACTCTATCCCAAAGGCCCTCTGACTCGCATCCTCCCTCACCTCTTTCAAAGTCTGTCTTAAGGCCTTCCTCTTTGACCGTGTCCTCATTCATTTTTCCCTTCTCCACCACCTCTCAGCTCCCACCCCAAGCTCCGGTGAAAAGCCAGAACTGTCAAGGGTCTTGAACATTCTCCCCATATCAAAGATGCTTATTTAAATGTAAATTTATATTGTGTTGTATCATCAAATTGTGGCAGCAGGATCAAAGAACATTTCTGGAAGTTACTGAACAACGAAACACTGTATTTTGGCTGTGTGAAGCTCCTGCATGAATTGTAAATAGATGGTGACAGTGCAGTCAGCCTGCCTCATTGTGGAGTCCTGTAGCTTTGTGTTTAGAGCACTCGCCTGACAAGCGGGAGGACCTGGTTTGGCGAATTCCCAGGGAGGGCGAAACATTGGGCAAGTTCCTCTATTCCACATACCTCTGTATACCTAGTAGTAAGTAGAAACCTGGTTGGTAGTCGATTGGTAGATTGCTTTTCTGGGGGTAAGAATTCCCTTCAAAGTAAATAAAATAATAATTTGGTGAGACTCAATCCATGACTGTATGTGGGACAGTTACCCCAACACACACTCTGCGATCCCCAAGCCTTGGATCTTGCCAACCTATGCCTAATACCTTCCAGAATTGGGTAAGCATGATATGTCCCTCTAGGGAGAGAGTACGTATTCTATTCCAACAATCTATCTCAGAAATTTCCATGTATAGGTGGGATACATGGGAGTCTCAGCTTGGTTTGGATACTTCAAAGCATGGTGATGGGTTTCCGCGTGTGTCAGAGACCTGAGTGACCCCCCCAACTAATTTATAAATAGAGCCACGGTGTGGCAGGATTAAAATGAAAGACTTCCTTAAAACATTTTTGCTTAAAATGGCTTAATGACTTAACTGCTGTTGTAATCCAAGCATTTGTGATCACCGAGAAAGCTATGACCTAGCAGAACAATTACTGATGCGGGAATTGTTACGTATTGCAGTGTTCCTTCACAAGCTTTTGAGATTGAGTGATTTGGTATTGCACATGCTTCCTGGAATTTTTGGAGGATTTCTATTGATGCTGGTCAGATATCCATCGAATATGTTGCAATAAACAACAAGCAGTGGTTTCCCTTGAGTGGTATCACAGACGCTCCGGGACGCTATCCTGCATGAAGGGAGCTATATAAATGTAGCAGTTGTTATTTGTGAGGCACTGATGTGCACAAATTGGCTACCGCTTACAAAACACAGTCACTACATTTGACATTAAATCCTGTGAAGCATATTGGGACCTCTTCCCAAAGTGAAAGGCACTACATCAAATTTAAGCCTGATCAGTATTGTGGCAACAGGACTTTCTTGGTCGAGAAAAAGCCCAAACATACACATCCATTTCTCTGCCTAATTCAGGACGACGAGGAAAGGCAGCGGATTTGTTTTCAGAGCGCCAGCACAGGTGCGATGGGCCCAATAGCTTTTAATAAAAAGAAGAAATAACACTAATAATGCTTGCATTTGATATACTGGCCTTTCAAGTCAGAGCACTTCACAGGATATACTGTAATGTGTAGTATTTGTAGGCCAATGCAGCAGCCAGTTTGGGCAAAGCAATACCCAATGTCGATCTGTACAGCTCAGTTGTGCTGCATTTCAATTATGGTGATTGTGGTGGTGTGTGGCCAAAGCCTTTGGTTCCTTATATATCTAGGGCTCAAATATACTCTTTCTAATATACAGTTTCATTTCTGCATTTAAATAAGGCAACTCCCAGATCAATGTCTGCTCCTTGACCTTAATTTTAAGTTTAGTTTGTTGCATGGTTTCCTCCTTTCTTTTTAAAAACAGAAAACTTACACTCAAACACCATCCCCATAACACATGTACACACACACACATTGATGAATGCATTATCCCACTTCCACACCTCCCAATAACGATAAGATAGTTAATGGAAACTTACCTGAAATCAGGAAAACACCAACAAAATAGCTGCAACCCCACATGGCTTTCCTTTTGCTGCGCAAATCCAGTCAGAATCGAGAGGTGAAAAGGTGGCTTTGGGAGAATGACAGCCAGACCCTGGCAATGGTAGCACTGAGCTGGGCAAGAAGAGAGACTTTACAGTGACTTAGGCCAGAGCAGCTTCACACAGGGAAAAAAGTAAACCAGCGATTGGAAACCCAGAACCTCTACAACACCACTTGACGAGCCAGAGTCAAACCACTCTAATGTCGATCCTTCCTTTCTTTTTTTTAAACAAATGTAAAGTATCGCATGCGTCTTTCCTAGGAAATAAAAAATATATAATAAAGCACTATAGAGATTGGGTAAACCGTGCTCTCTCATCTTAAAATAGTAAGATTTGGGAAATCTTGTTAGTGGACGAAATTGCTATCTATCTGTCTCTCTCTCCTTCCACTTTGTGGTTTGGCTACAAGGCCCAGCTCAGAACTGGCTACTCCCTCCTCCACTCACACTATTGGCTTTCTGCTGCCAATCAATTTTTTTTAATGAAAACGCGATTGCTCGTGAGCCAGAGTTATGTTTATGTTAGATTACACAGCACAGAAACAGGCCATTCGGCCTAACTGGTCTATGCCGGTGTTTATGCTCCACATGAGCTCCTCCTACCCTTCCTCAACTAAGCCTTCAAGCATAACCTTCTATTCCTTTCTACCTCAGGTATCTATCTAGCTTCCCCTTAAATACATCTATGCTATTTGCCTCAACAACTGCTTCTCTTTGTGTAAAGAAATTTCTTCTAACTTGAATCTATTTGTGACTATTTTATATTGATGGCCTCTGGTTTTGGTCTCCCCCACAAGTGGAAACATCTTCCCTATGTCTACCCTATCAAAACCTTTCATCATTTTAAAGACCTCTATCAGGTCACCCCTTACCCTCCTTTTTTCAAGAGAAGAGTCCAAGTATGTTCAGCCTTTCCTGATAGGTATAACCTCTCAGTTCTGGGATCATCTTTGCGAATCTCCTTTGCACCCTCTCCAGTCCCTCTACATCCCTTCTATAATGTGGGGACCAGAACTGCACACAGTATTCCAAGTGTGGTCTAACCGAGGTTCTATAGAAGATTACCATAACTTCCCTGATTTTCATTTCTATCCCTCTAGAAATGAACCCCAATGCCTGGTTTGCCTTTTTTTTATAGCCTTATTAACCTGCGCTGCTACTTTTAGTGGCAACGGTGTTTATGAGCCGGCGAAAACTCATGTAAACCGAGTGGGACTCACGGAAGGTAAGTCAGGCAGCGCAGGGAGTCATAGAGCTGATTTCCTGGGGATCGAGACTGGAGGCAGCCAGAGCGGGGGGTCCGGGGATCGAGACCGGAGGCAGCCAGAGGGGGGGTCCGGGGATCGAGACCAGAGGCAGCCAGAGGGGGGGTCCGGGGATCGAGACCGGAGGCAGCCAGAGGGGGGGTCCGGGGATCGAGACCAGAGGCAGCCAGAGGGGGGGTCCGGGGATCGAGACCGGAGGCAGCCAGAGGGGGGGTCCGGGGATCGAGACCAGAGGCAGCCAGAGGGGGGGTCCGGGGATCGAGACCGGAGGCAGCCAGAGCGGGGGGCTCGGTCCCGGGGATCGGAGGCAGCCAGAGTCGTGGGGGAGGGGCTGGGTCCCGAGAATCGAGACCGGAGCAGCCACGGCGGGGGTGGGGCTGGGTCCGGCAACAGCTCGCGGTAGGGCCGGTATCTCGTGGATCGGGTCCGGCGAGAGCTCGAGGCAGGGTCGGGGTCCTGGGGATCGGGACCGGCGTTAGTCAGGGGCCGGCCGGTAGCTGTAGGCCGGGCCGGGTTCTCGTGGGCCCTGAGGTGGGGCGGGTGTCTCGGGGATCGAGCGGCGGCCGTTACCTGGTCAGGGGGAGCTGCCATTTTGGATTTTCAAATTTCCCTGACATTCTGCCTGACGTCACTTCCGCCCACCAGGTGTGAAACCCCGATAGCAGGTACAGCACAGTATGGCTTATACCAGTATCTCCCTCCCTCCTCTGTCTGTCTCCCTCCCTCCCTCCCTCCCTCCCTCCCTCGCCTGTCCTTCCCCTGTAGGCTGCTCATTGCTAACCACAATGAGCGCCCTCCCCACTCTGCGCCACCTCTAGCCCCCACAGCCTCCTGAAGGCTGACAATGTCCCACTAATCCGCCGCCTCTTGTCCCAGCGTGCGCACCTTGGCAGCTGCCCCCGACCCGAGCTGGCCCTCCCTCAAAATGCCCCCCTCCCTGCAACTCTCCCGCTCTGTCCTGCTCTCCCTCCGCCTTCCCCGCTTCCTCTCTCTGCTTGACCCCCCCTCACTGCCTCCCTCTGCTCCAGCCTGGGAATCCTCTGCCCGGCTCATCGTGGCACTCAGCCTTGGGCTGTCCAGCAGCAGCCACACCGACTGCCCCATCCGCACTACCGCCACAAGCCACTTTGGACAATTTGATATTATAGATATTAAATCAAACGCAGGGATTATTTTTTATTATTATTGTTGCTCACCATTATATCTGTCATCATTTTGAGACATGTGCTTTATGTGAAAGGTGTTATACCTTTCACAAGATGCAATAATGCAATGTATACTGTCTACTTTTTTCATTGAAAGGAGCGTGCTCAGGAGGTTTCTGTTTTTAGGTGAGAACAGGCTTCGATAGTAGTGGGATCTGGGCATCGTTTTGGGGTCTTTTCCATTGCTTTTCCATTCCATTGTCTTTTCGTGGAGTCCTGTAGCTCAGTGGTTAGAGCACTTGCTTTGCAAGTGAGAGACCTGAGTTCAATTCCAGGCAGAGGGCGAAACCTTGGGCAAGTTTCCTTACTCCACACAGAGCCTAATAATAATCCCTCCAAAAAAAAACCAATAATAAATTGGTCATTTTCAATCTACGACTGTTTGTGGGACATTGCTGTGAGCAATTGGCTGCCGCGTTCGCCCACAAATATACAGTCAATTCACTTTACAGTATATTCTGTGAAGCGCTTTGGGACGTCCTCCCGACGTGAAAAGCGCTATATCAAATGCAAGGATTATTATTATTATTATTATTATTGCCTCAACATAAGCCTTTCTCTTTGACTGTGCCTTCAGCTCCCCACTCGACCCCCTCTTTGCTCCCTCCCTTCTCTCCCCTCATCCTGACCATTTCCCCCCGCTCGGGTCCTGACCCAACTGTCCAGCGCCTTGGGACGTCCTCCCGACGTGAAAGGCGCTCTATAAATGGAATCTTGTTGTTGTTGTTGCACCCTTCCCAATGCCTTAACATCCTTCCTATAGTGTGGTGCCCAGAACTGGGCGCAATATCCTAACTGAGGCCTAACCAGCGTTTTATAGGTTAATCATAACCTCCTGAGTCTTGTACTCTATGCCCCTATTTATAAAGCCTAGTATCCCATATGCCCTTTTTACCGCTTTATCTACCTGTCCTGCCACCTTCAAGGATTCATTTACCTGAACCCCCAGGTCTCTCTGTTCTTTCACCCCCCTTAAGATTGTATTACCAGCCTATATTGTCTCCCCTCATTCTTTCTTCCAAAATGCATTACCTCGCATTTCTCCACATTGAAACTCATCTGCCATGTGTCTGCGCACTTTACCATTCTGTCTGTGTCTTCCTGCAGTTGGCCACTATCCTTCTCACTGTTTACCACCCTACCTAACTTTGTGTCGTCCGCAAACTTGGAAATGGTACTTGCTATACCCAAGTCCAGATCATTTATGTATATTAAGAAGAGCAGTGGTCCTGATACCGATCCCTGGGGGACGCCACTGTACACTTCCCTCCAGTCAGAAAAGCAGCGGTTCGCCGCCGCCGCCGCCGCCGCCCTGCGCTGCGGCCTCCCTCCCCGACAGGTTCGGCTCCGTCCACGAATTGGTTGCGTGACAACTCCCGTCACCAACCAAACGTGCGTCTCACGCTGACCCAGAATCTTCTCCGGGAATTAATGTTGAGTTGGGTTATCGGAAGGAGCCGGTGGGGGAGGAGGAGGAGGGGGTGTCATCCCTCAGCGACCGACTGATGAAATGGGGGCGGGGGCCGAGTGTGGGCGGGGCTGAGGTGATTGGCGTGCGAGCGGTGCCTGCTGGGGTGTGTAGTTTCCGGTGGAACTACAGCTCCCAGCAGGCGCCGCGACTGGCGCCCCGCCGCTCTCACTGACCGAGCCTCAGGGGGGCGGAGGCGCGCGCACGCGCGGAGCCGAGAGTGACAGACAGAGACCCAGTGAGTGAGGGGGAGGGGGAGGGGCCGCTCTGCTCACTCTGTGCCGCTGTCACAGAGAGGCCCTGTGGAGAGAAGCCCTGGAGCAGAGGTGAGGAGGGCCCTCCCGCTGTACCTCCTGTGCCAGAGGGGAGGGAGGGAGAGAGAGGAGGGGGAGGGAAGAGGGAGAAGGAGCGAGGAAGAGGGAAAGGGAGAGAGTGATTGAGGGGAGAGAGGGAGGAAGAGGGAAAGGGAGAGGTTGAGGGGAGAGAGGGAGGAGGAGGGAAAGGGAGAGAGTGATTGAGGGGAGAGAGGGAGAAAGGGATAGAGTGATTGAGGGGAGAGAGGGAGAAAGGGAGAGAGTGATTGAGGGGAGAGAGGGATTGAGGGGAGAGAGGGATTGAGGGGAGAGAGGGAGAAAGGGAGAGAGTGATTGAGGGGAGAGAGGGATTGAGGGGAGAGAGGGATTGAGGGGAGAGAGGGAGAAAGGGAGAGAGTGATTGAGGGGAGAGAGGGATTGAGGGGAGAGAGGGAGAGAGTGATTGAGGGGAGAGAGGGATTGAGGGGAGAGAGGGAGAGAGTGATTGAGGGGAGAGAGTGATTGAGGGGAGAGAGGGAGAGAGTGATTGAGGGGAGAGAGGGAGAGAGTGATTGAGGGGAGAGAGGGTGGCAGACACTCAAATGCAATTCTGGAGAGCGCTCCAGAAGGTGCTATCCTTTGAAATGTTCGAGAGAGAGAGGGGGAGCTGAGGAAAGATGGGCGCCCTGTGCATGTTTGTGTGTGAGAGCTGTGTGTGTTTAATTCTAATAATGATCCTTGTATTGAATATAGTGCCTTTCATGACCAGCAGATGTCTCGAAGCGCTTCACAGGATTTATTGTAAGTGTAGTTACTGTGTTTTGTAGATGGGTGCTGTAGTCAATTTGCAAACAGCAGTCACCCACAAACAACCAAGAAGTGAATGACCTATTTTATTTGGGGAGGTTTTGGCCTGGACACCGGGAGAAACTCTCGGCTCTTTTTAATTAACGCCATGGGTTCTTTGACGTTCACCCGAACAATTAACCTAGTCCTTAAGTTTAATGTCTCATTCCGAGGACGGCACCTCAGTAAATCAGCGACCCCCACCCCCCCGACAGTGAATTGGAGTCTCAGCCTAGATTGTGAGTTCAAAATCCTGCCGTCGGCCATAAACTCACAAACTTTGAGTCCGAGGCAAGAGTGCCACCAACTAACGTGTAGCTTTGATGAGAATAAAAGCAAAAGTGTGCATCAATTTAATCAGTTCTCATGAGAAGTGGTACCTTGAAGCATTAGCCAATTATTCTCCCTCTGGATGCTTTGTATTTCCAGCATTCTCTGCAGATTTCTAGCATTTGCATTTTTTTTACAGCAGAGGTGGACTGAATGATTTACCAGTAATCGATCGCTTGCTGAATAAACATTGTTTAATCTTTAGTACTTTAGTGATGAATGTAAATATCTTTTCCAAAACAATATTAGTTCTGCAGGCATGATCATATTAACATATGGTTTAAGTGCAGCCACTATTTGTAATTGGTTGGTGTTGGTCTATTTTCATTGGTGTCAAGCTCAGAGGATACCCCATCATTCTATCTACCTCTGTGTCTTTCTCTACATCTATGTATATGCCTAATAATAATCCCTCCAAAACAAAACAATAATAAATTGGTCATTTTCAATCCACGACTGTTTGTGGGACACTGCTGTGCACAATTGGCTGCCGCGTTCGCCACAAATATACAGTCAATTCACTTTACCGTATATTCTGTGAAGGGGCTTTGGGACGTCTTGAAGGCATGAAAAGCGCTATATCAAATGCAAGGATTATTATTATTATCACCATGTGAGAGGTTTGAAATATTCACCATATGTTGTAGGCACATATAAGCTTTTCTTGTTAGAGGGAAACTGATTACACAAGTTTAAAACAAATGTAGAGCATGTTAAAGAATTTAAATTGCTGCATGCAAATTAGCTGCTGTATTCCTCCCACAAATACATAAACACACTCAGCTTTTAGTGTATCCTGTGAAGTGGCTTGAGACGTCTTCATGATGTGTTAAGGTGGTGTAACAAATGCAAGGATTATTATTTAAATCACTATCCTAATCAAAACACTTTCTATTGCAGCATTGCTATTGCATTCACATTGGAGATGTGAACTTGTTCAGGATGTATTTTTCTCTGCCTGCGAATTTGGTGATAAAAAGGATGTGGATTAAACCTAGCATCATCTGGTTTCTGCTCATGTTGGCTCAGTGTTGCTTTGTACAAGCTGCAGAACATGTAGGTGTGGCGAAACATGCAATCAAACTGCACAGAGGTAAAGGGGCAGCAATCATCAAGGGAAGGCTATGGGTCATGGACAATTGTAAGAAGTTATCTGCCCTGATACTCCATAAAAATGTCGTACTCAACAAATTAAAAAAGGCTGTAAAAGCAGCAGAAATTGACTCCAGTCTATCATTCGAAGAAAAGATCTTCCAGATACACACCTTTGAGATTTTCCAGAAAGAGTTGAATGAAAGTGAAAAATCAGTCTTTCAAGCTATCCATGGGCTTCAAAGAGCTCTTCAGGGTGATTACAAAGATGTAGTGAACATGAAAGAAAGTAGCAAACAACGCCTGGAAGCCTTAAGAGAAGCTGCTATTAAGGTCAGAATATTGTAAATTTCTAATGTTGGGATTTGGCCTTATCAGGTTGTAATGGCTCAAAGAACCTTTTTTTTTAAAGTTGTAATTTAATACACAACAATTTCAATTGGGATTGCTTAATCAAGGAAGTGGGGAGGATGTTGCATTATGCTTTGCAAAGCCTATCTGATCTTCCTCTTTTCCCACCCTCCTCAATTGCAGCACAAAGCATGAAATTAAACAATGTGTGTTTTAACAAAAGTTGTGGTGTGTTTAATCTTAATAATCTCAGTATGAATATTCTCGAAGTAGATCTGTTCTAGGAACATTTCCCAATTCTCTGCCATTTTGCCATACCCTTAATATCTACTGCACATCTATCTATCGCTTTTTAAACATTCCGTGCATCTCTATAGCTTTCAAGCATATTTTACATCTTCACAACTCTGTTTGAAGAAATGCTTTTTGATCTCATTTTTTACTTGGCTTGGTTCTGATTTTAAGGCTATGCTCACTTGTGCCAGACTTGAGGTGAATGATCTGGTGGATTGTTTCTCTAGTCCGATTGTGTTAACAAGATATTTAAAAGACAGAAGTATCTTTCATCTCAATAATAGTAATAATCCTTTATAATTGGCTTATTCAAAAAATAGCATCTCAAAATATTCAGTATGCTTTCAGTACTGCACTGGTGTGTTAATCTAGACTATGATCTAAAATTGCAACGTGTTTTTGCAGAAATGAGATCTAAACCATACCACAAACATGACTAGGCATTAGTGATGCTCTCAAAAAGATCCCACCTTAATGGAAACTCATGTCTTGGTGTGCTAATACTTCACATCTAGTGGTCTTGTAGGTTTGCTTCCAGCTGTAACTAGACTTTGACTGGAAAAAAAGGATTTGGAGTTGTAAAATTATACATTTTGAGATTATATTTTTGATTTGCTTTGTAGTACATGTATTTTTAAATGTTAACAATGGAACTGCATATAATTATGGATTTGGCGGAAATCTTCAGCTGCTGTTCCAAAATGTTTCAAAAGTCTATGGTTCTGAATGAAAAGACTTTCCCTCAGTGATTTTTGCATTGGTTAAGGCAATCTTATCAGGATCATGTTTCCTAGAGACAGCCTGTGTCAGCAACACCACCACTTCTAAACTGCTATAGAGTGAAGATTTCAGAACTTATATTTTTCAATACAATCTATGTTTTCTGATTTGTAATCTACAGGAAGAAAAGGAATATGTAGAACTACTGGCTGCAGAGAAACACCAAATTGCAGCTCTAAAAAGTATACAAGATCGGAACAAAAGCCTATCAATTCTAGATGAAATTCTAGAGGATGTACGGAAGGCTGCTGACCGCTTAGAGTTGGAGATTGAAGATCATGTATTTGATGATAATAAATTGGTGAGTCCCTGAATAGAGTTCAAATATTCATCTTTCTGCAGTATCTCAGTTAGCAAAGCCCTATCTACAACACTTATTTTTAAAATTCGGAGCCGAGACTAAGATTTTTTTAAAAAGATTACATTTCAGGTGGAATCAACAACAACAACAAAATTACATTTATAGAGTGCCTTTCACGTCAGGAAGATGTCCTGAAGCGCTGTCAGAAAGACCAAAGGAAGATATCTCCTCAGCTCTGGGAAAGAATGATTTTGAACAAGAAATGAGTCTGATTATTACATTTAAATTTAAGGGGTCACTTTCTTTTCAAAGTATTCTCCCCATCCAAATTTTGAAATATCGTAAATATATCTTTGACCTGTAGAGCGGAAGCCCCACATGAAGCACATTCCTTTAGCTCAATTTCTCAGCTGCTGGGACATTCCTGGGGCATATATTCCTGGGAAAAGCTGAGTGACTTAATTTACTTTAATGGAATGGCACTTTGGATTGCATTGGGACTGTCTTGATTACTAGCCACTCAAGCTTGTAAAAGCAAGGTAGCATTGCAGTATTTAAACATCTGAAAAATCTTTTTTGCGTAAAGGGTGGTGTTTAGTTACTCAGTTTGATGCTCAATTGAGTCTGTCGAGGGCTCCCCTGAGTCTCCCAAGTGTCACATCTAAGTCGACAGTAATCTTTAATTCAAAGATTGCAAATTATGCTTTATTTAGTCCTGGATTTATAATAATAATCTTTGCATTTGATATTGTGCCTTACCATGTTGGTAAGATGTCTCAATGTGCTTCACAAAATATATTGTAAAGTGAATAGAATTTGTGTTTTGTACAAACCTTCACTTGCATGGAGCTTGATGATCCTGTAAAAACAAAATTGTAATCCATAATTTTACTGGGCCTTGTTAAGCGATCCAAGGTGCTGCCGTACGTGAAGGGCGCTATATAAATACAAGTTGTTGTTTCTGCTGTCAGAGTGACAATGAACATCGGTATTGCTTTCTGACCGGAATCAGTAAAGAAAATACAAGATCATATAGGACTGAGCAGGTCATCCATATTATGTCAGGTTGTAATATTAAGTGCACAAACTGTATTTTTCCAGGCTAAAGGTGTCAATGTGGAAGCTGTCATTAGAGTGGAAGATGACAATGAAAACCATGAGAGAAACCTTTCTCAGCAGGAAGTACAGGATGGGTTGGGGCTGAGCATGCTCATTGACTCTCAGAACAATCAGTACATACTTACAAAACCAAGGGACTCCACAATCCCGAGAGCTGATCATCATTTTATAAAGGTAACCTGCATTTTCCAGCTTCCTTTAAGAAGCCTGAAATATCTTGCTTTTTTAAAAAAAATTGAACTCAAATCATTGAATAAAACAATAATGTGTTCTCTGAGTGAAAATCGAGGAGGAAATGTAATGTTATTTGTTTTAGAGTTCAGTGATAGTTTTATAAAACAAAATTATCCAAACCAAATTTCCTGAAAGATGGGTAGTGGACTGTACTTTTTATTTCAGGAGTGCGAAATTTCAAGGTGGATGTAGACTAAACAAGCTGGGAAATCTGGATTCAGGTAGCTTGAGTCCAGAAAGAATAGACAGAGAGACAAGAAAAGGGAACCCCAGAAAATGGTATCCCACTTAATTCCATGGGCCCTAATCTTGTGAATCAACCTTTTATGCGGCACCTTATCGAATGCCTTTTGGAAATCTAAATACACTACATCCATGATTCTATCTAATCTACTTGATATGTCCTCAAAAAAATCTAAAAGCTTTGTTAAGCATGACTTCCCTTTTGTAAAGCCATGTTGACTCTGTCTAATCATATTGAGATCCTCTAAGTATCCCACTACGACATCCTTAATTAAGGCTTCTAGAGTTTTCCCTACCACCGATGTCAGACTAACTGATCTATAGTTCCCCATCTTTTTTCTCCCACCCTTCTTAAATAGTGGTGTGACGTTTGCGATCTTCCAATCAATGGGAACCGTTCCAGAATCCAAAGAATTTTGGAAGATCAGATACAAGGCCTCCACTATCTCATGAGCTACCTCTTTTAAAACCCTAGGATGCAAACCATCAGGTCCAGAGGATTTGTCACTTTTTAATGCCAACAATTTCCCAAGCACCAATTCTTTGCTAATGTAAATTTCCCTAAGTTGCTCCCTATCATTAGCCTCTTGGTTCATCTCTATTTCTGGTAAACTTCTTGTGTCTTCTAACGTGAAGACAGAAGCAAAGTATTTATTTAGGGACTCTGCCATATCCTTATCCCCCATTATAATTCCCCCTGTCTCTGCCTGTAATGGACCCACATTTACTTTTGCTAGCCTATTCCTCTTAATGTATTTCTAAAATCTCTTACAATCTGTCTTAATGTTCCTAGCATTCCTTACTGCCCTCATAATCCATTTTCTCGCTCTTAATGAGCTTTTTGGTTTTCCTTTGTTGGTCCCTAAAACACTCCCAGTCCTCAGGTTTGCTACTCTTTTTGGCAGTTTTAAAGGCCTTTTCTTTTAGTTTTATACTTTCTCTAATTGCTCTAGTTAGCCACGGATGCACTGCTTTCCCTGTGGTACTCTTATTCCTCAAGGGAATATATGACCGCTGAGAATTTTGCACTACATCTTTAAACATTTGCCACTGTTGGTCTATTGTCATATCCATTAATCTAATTCCCCAGTCTATTTTAGCTAATTCTTGACTCAAACCTGCAAAGTTAGCTTTATTTAAATTTAACACCCTTGCTTCGGATTTGATTACATCGCTCTCTAACTTAATACTAAATTCTATCATGTTATGATCACTCTGCCCTAGAGGAGCCTTAATATCTATATTACCGACTAGCCCTGTTTCGTTACACAAAACAAGGTCCAGGGTGGCCTGTCCCCTAGTTGGTTGCTCGGCATGCTGCTCCAGAAAGCTATCTCTCATACATTCTATAAACTTCTCCTCTACCCTACTTTTGCCGATTTGGTTTTCCCAATCTATGTGGAGATTAAAATCACCCACTATTACTTTACTACATGCTCCTCTAATTTCTTGATTAATACCCTATGCTATTCTGTGATCACTGTTTGGGGGTCTATAAACTACTCCCACTAATATTTTCTGCCTCTCGTTATTTCGTAATTCTACCCATACGGTCTCTACATCCTGGTTATCTGATTTGAAATCCTTCCTCTACTGTTTTTATTCCATCCTTTATTAACAAGGCTACCCATCCCCACCTCATTTTCCACATTGTCTATCCTTCCTATAAGATGAAAACCCCGGAATATTTAACTCCCAGCCTAGATCTCCCTGTAACCATGTCTCAGTAATGGCTACTAGATCATACCTGTTTGCATCTATCTGTGCCTTTAATTCATCTATCTTATTCCAAATTATTCTTCGTGCATTCAGATATAGCGATTTTAATTTCTTACCATTTCCCCTACTCTCTGATGCCCTATCTTCTTTACTGAGCTTCTTACCCCTCTTTGACCTATTCTGTTTATCTCTCACTATTCTGTTCTGCCACCTTTAGTTTTTTTAATATTGCTGGCTTGCTCTTATTTCTAATTGTATCCCCCCACCCCCCCTTTACTAGTTTAAAGCTTTATTTACCTCCCTATGTATTCGGTTTGCTAGTACATTTGTTCCAGCTGATTTAAGTGGAGCCCATCTTTTTGACCCCAATACTCGTGCCAGTGATCCATAACATGAAACCCCTGCGTTCCGCACCACTCCCTCAGCCATGCATTTAACTCTCTAATTTGCTTATTCCTGTACCAATTTGCACATGTCAAAGGCAGCAATCATGATATCACTACCTTTGATGTTCTTTGTTTTAATTGAGTTCCCAGCTCCTTGAACTCCCTCCTCAAATCATCACAACTATGCCTTACATATGACATTGGTACCTATGTGAAGTGCCGCTAATGGATCCTCGCCCTCATGTTTTAGTTTCTCCTCCAGCCCCGCTGAGACGTCCTTCACCCCGGCCCCAGGAAGGCAACAAAGCCTTCGGGTCTCCCGGTTGTGATTGCAGATAAGTGTATCTGTCCGCCTGATAGTCTCATCCCCAATTACTACAACTTTCTGTTTGTTTCCCCTAATATTGCAATCACGTTTTCCTTCCTCCTCACAGGATCTCATACCTGTTGGCCAAGGTTAAAGCCTGAGGCTTCACTGCCACTCTCTCTGGTGTTCCCTTAACCTCCTGCCTGTCAGACACCCTATCCTGTCCTTGGCTGATACTAGTATCTATACATTCCCTGAGCCTCAGGGGAGTGACTGGCTCCAGGATGAAACTATCCAGGAAGCACTCACCGTCCCTGATGCTGCGCAATGTCTGCGATGTCAGACACTCTGAGCTGGAGCTGCCTCAGTTGCAGACATTTGCTGCAGGTGTGGTTGCGGGGGCTCAGACTGCCCTCCAGCAACTCCCACATGTTACAGTCCTCACACAACACCTGCCTCGCCATTGTCACCTCTCCCCCCACTGTGAATTAAAGTTTTATTTAATTTATCATTGTTATTTTTTAAAAGTTAAATTCTTAATTAACATTTTTTAAAAATGTTTTTATTTTTAGTGTTAGTTAATAGTTAGTGTTAGTTTACAGTTAGTTAGTGTTAGCTGTTAGTTTTTGATTGTGACGTCGCTTTGACGTCACTTTTTAATTTTCTTGCTGTTTTTTTATCTGAGCCTCTCCTCGCTGTGGCCGGTATCCCCACTGCTCTCCTCGCCCCGCCCCTCGCTCTCATGCCTCTGCTCCTGACTCAGAGTCTGTTCTTCTAGTTTGGACCAAAAAAGAGGAAGTCTTATTTTGTTCAGAGGTGTTTTTTTTCAAGTATCTCAAAATTGTCTTTGCTTTAGGGTTGCTCAGTATTTTTTTTCCCTTCAATTTATCAAAAAAGGTTCGTTTCACCTATCCTGACCAGTCATTAAGTTACTGCTCACCTCAGTGAAACTGTGAAAAGCTTTTTTAAAATTAGATAATAGGTTAAATTGTATAAAGTCAGATGATCTTTCTTGCTTCAAAGTGATGAATGTCTGCTAAAATGTCTGATAAATGTAGCTAAAAAGCATGTATAAATTCACAGAATTTACAGAAAGATTGTGGATTTGAACTGCAGAAAATTGTTTCACGTTTTTATTTCAATCTATAGAAACTATTTTTAAAACTTTTTGCAGGACATAGTTTCTGTTGTGACACTATCTTTACCTTGTGGTTGGCTTTGTACATTGATGGGGTTTCCTACAATGTTTGGTTACATTATTTCTGGAGTTTTATTGGGCCCTTCGGGATTCAACAGTATCAAGGTATGATTTAAATTCTGTTATGCAGTGTTTGATATTTCATCATTCAAATAAGTTAATTATAAAATAAACAGTACTAAATAGTAAATATTATATCTGAGCGAGTGTCTTCATGTTACTATATATATATGTAACAAATACACAAAGAAAAACAGAAACTATGATGGGAATATGCCTTATCAAGGCCCCTAACCTTCTCCAAGTGAATGTATTGGCTTTTTTTTTTAATATAATAATCATGATAACTAATCCTTGCATTTGATATAGCGCCTTATCACATCTTCAAGACGTCTTCATAGAGTATACTGTAAAGTATAGTGACTGTATTTTGTGGGCGAAATGTGGCAGCTGATTGCACACAGCAGTGTCCTACAAACAATCTTTTACTTTTTTTTACATCTTGAAATGTAATTACACTAATTTTGTGGGATGTTAACTCAGATAAGACACCAAGTTGTATTATTATATGCTGATTTATTTCCAGATCATCATCCCACTTTTTTTATTTTTATTTTTTTTATTCATTTTAAATTCCATCTATCTTGTAATTTATGTGCATGTGATAATCACATGGTCACTTGACATCCTGTTTATCTTTTATGATTGCAGTGGTAGTTCATGAGGGTGCAGTGTTGCTCTCTTCCTATATAAAAGAAGCATCGAGTCTGCCTCTGTTACTCTGTTTCATATTTTTTACTTAATCCAAGTTTATCTCCAAATTCAAATTAATTGAACACTCATCTCATTGTTTGTTTACTCGCGAAGGTTGACTGCTGTGTTTTCCTGTATTACAACATTTCCTTCATTTCTCAATATTTATATTTTATGAAATGCTTCAACACTTTTATCCCTCCCTTTCTCCTTCACTTGATAAAATCTCCATTTTATGATCAATATGATCCTAAAAATGTTTTGCTCGCCCCTGATTTTGCATTTGTTTCAGAATAATATTTTAACAATTATTTTTTCTGATTGTACAGAAAATCCACATGTAGCTTTTTTTTGTTGCAGTCTATTGTGCAAATAGAGACTCTTGGTGAGTTTGGCGTGTTTTTCACCTTGTTTGTGGTTGGTTTGGAGTTCTCTCCTGAAAGACTCAGAAAGGTACAAACTTTCCATTTCATGTCCGATGTTTGATTGAATGAATCATTCAATATTATTTGTTTACTCTTAGAAAATTTCTTGAATAATTGTGAACCCAGTGTAGGAAGAGAAAACACTGAAGTTGTGTTCTACACCAGAGTTGTAAGACTTAAGGCTTTTGAATAGTTAAAGAATAGAATTGTACCTGGAAAATTGCTCTACATATATATACTAAAAGAGGATAGCATTACATAAATCCTCTTTTGTTCCAAAGATAAGTATCCTTAATAACTTTTACATGGTGTCTGCTTATATGGGCATATATCCTAAACTTAAAACCTAAATGTGTTCCATTTTCCAGTACTAATATCACTCACGGTGATGAACGCAAAAGTTTACAAAAAGCAACAAACAAACGATGCTCTGATATTCTGAGCTCCCTTTATTTTGTGATGAAATAAAATGCAGAAGTAATTGAGGATGATGCTATATTGTAGAAATTTAGAGTACAGAAGGAGGCTATTTGATCTATGAAGTCTGCACTGACTCTCAGACCAAGCTGTACTTTCAACCCTACTGCCCTGCCCTATCCCATACCCTCTGGAATATTCTCTGGGATAAAATTAGTTTTGTAGGACTTTTATTGATTGAAATAATTTTGAATTGCATTTTTTTTGGAAGACTCTTACCAGTTACAACATTAAATCATTGTTCGCTTTAAGGTTCAATATGTAATTAATACAGATGAGGAAACATAGAAATTCAACCAAAAAATGTACAAATCTACCCATTTCTGTCTTTAGGTATGGAAGATTTCTTTGCAAGGTACCTGTTATATGACACTACTGATGGTTGCATTTGGATTATTCTGGGGGCATCTGTTAAATATCAGACCAATACAAAGTGTCTTCATTTCTACATGTTTGTCCCTATCAAGTACCCCTCTGGTATCTAAGTTTCTTGCTGTTGGTACTAGAGCAGATAAAGAAGGTAATTTTTTTTAAATAAGCGTGAAATGGATGCACATTTTATAGCTATAATTTTGAATACTCCATCAAACTGTGCAATATCAAATGTTTGGCACTGCATAATTGCAACTTGTTGTCAATCTTAAAAATACAAGGCTACTTAGTGACAATATGTTTTGTGCAAGTCAATGCAGATATCCATCCAGTTTACGTGTATTTCTGTGCACCAGGGCTGTTTTTGTGTTCCACTTTGACTTTTGAACAGTTCCTGGTGAGCTAAAGTTAGCAATACATGTACATAATTGGACCAATGCTTCATGTTTTAGTAAAATTAAAATTTACGAGCAGCTGTTTAGCTTATTTCTTTTGAAGGTTAACCCATTGCAGCTTTGCTTGCAACCAAAGGATCCAGTATGGAATGCAGATTGACACACAGACAAACACACAGACAGACATTTCATCTTTATCTGTACTCATTTGGGAGGACTCCTGTGGGAGGACTCATTTTGGCCGTGCTGTTCTTTGAGTGGCCAACTCATCCTGGCACGCTGTGTCAGTCCTTTCAGCTTTGAAGTGTAGCCGCGCTGCTCTTTGTTCCTCAGTTACATTTAATGGGCTCCTGTCTCTTTTGTCTAGTATTTTTACTTATCCTGAAAGGTTTGATTTTCACTTGAGCATCTTTATAATGATAAATATAATTGTATAATTTATAATCACTGGGAGTCCTCTCGACAAGAAAGTTGCTTTAAAAATTTAATTTTGTTACTGTTGCCGCAGCTTAGCTTTGTCTGTGTTCTTTATTTTGTTCCCGCCGCTTGGTTACGTGCGTGCTCTATGAACCAGGATGCCACAGCGCCACAATCAGCCTGCGAGGCCACCAGGCGTAACTGCAGTGCGTGCGTACATTCATTGGTGCTCTGTGACGTACAGTGCCACTTTGACTCCGTGGCTACCAGGTGTAACTGCAGCAAAAAAAGTAAAACTGAAATACATTTTAGGTCATAACTCATGAACAATAGGAGATACCTGAAACCAAGTATGTCCATGTCACTCCATGGTGCATGACTTTTCTGATGAGGTATAAATCATGTCTCTACGTCAATCGGTTATTGAGATCCTTCTTGAAGCACAGACAAGACATTTGTCGTTTTATTAGTGTAGATAATAATTAATTATATTAAGGTGTGCACAGTTTTGATTTAGACTTGCTTCTTGTTGATCAGGAGATGCTGACTATGGCAGCACACTGCTTGGAATGCTGATCATGCAGGATGTTCAGCTGAGCTTATTCATTGCTGTGATGCCCACAGTGAATCAAGCAGCGACCAGCAGTACTGACAGGTGATTGTGCATCTTTTGTAGTCTGCCTGTCACAATGTGTAAAAATATTAAATGTGGGACGTTATCTATGGTTGGAAGTACCAATTGATCACACAAATTTCATATCTTGTAATTCTTAAAGATAGAATGACACCAATCATAGATTGACACCAATATTTTAATTGTACATGGAAGTTATATAGATGAGAACCAAGAACAGTATCAATATTTTTAAATGTTTGAACATATAAATTCATTCATTATTTTCCCTTTCTCCTTTTTATCCAGCATCTTTTTACAAATGTTGAGGATTTTCATCTTAATTGGTCAAATTCTGTTCTCGTTGGCTGCTGTTCTCCTGATATGCCTTGTCTTAAAGACTTACCTTATTGGACCATATTGCAGAAAATTGCACACAGAGGGTAAAGGAAATAAAGAGATTATTGTCCTAGGAATTTCAGCATTTATCTTTCTTATGTTAATGGTAATAAAATGTTCACTTTGATTCAAATTCTAGTGTAATAACAACAACAACAAATTGCATTTGTATGGTGCCTTTCACGTCAGGAGGACGTCCCAAGGCGCTGAACAGTCAGGGATCCGCACCCGAGCTGGTGGTTGGGATCAGGAGCAGTGGAGGGCGGGGAGGGTAGGAGGTATTACAGATCTTATCAGAAAAGATGCCTTGACATTATTCAGAATATGTTTTTGTTTGAAACTAACTTTTAACATTGGTTGATACTGAATGGCCTGTTTCTGTGATGTAACAGACTATGTAATTCTTTGTACAACTGAAATTTTTATCTTATAAAACCTGCGTGTTTACCAAAATAGTGCTGCATGTACTTGTGCTGTGTGTTGCTGTTCACTCGGTCGCATGCAGCTCACAAAAAGTAAAGTTGAAAAAACAAAGAATAAAATGAGAGGAATTGAAGCCAATTAGGAGAATTTTTTTTTTAATTTTTGTTTTATTTTTGTGCAGATTACTGAGACGTTGGATGTCTCCATGGAGCTTGGCTGTTTTTTGGCAGGAGCATTAATTTCATCACAAGGACACATTGTTACAGAAGAAATCATGTTGTGTATTGAATCGGTACAAGATTTTCTTGTGATCATATTCTTTGCATCTATTGGTAAGCGAATGCCTTAAAGTTTCACAAACGTATAGAGGTTTGTTTTTTTAATGACTGTTGTAGCATGTCTGTACCAAACAAAATCTAAATCAACGGCATGTTTATTTTCAGTTAATTTGCTGTTATTGTAATGTTGTAAGAATACAATAACATTCAGAAATATTCTAAAGTTCTGCTATATTTAAAAAAAATCTCTATCCCTCCAAAAAATTGCAGAATGTTTCTTTAGGTCATTATATTAAAAATGCATCGTATTGTGGAAGCAGAAATGTCTTACAGCAGTCAAAGGTATATATAAGTTAAATACTAATTTATGATAGATGTTTTTGTTTCCACAAGTGAGGTTCACTATGTAAATTAAAGTGACAGTGAAAATAAAAAGCATGCTGTTTCACCTATAAGAACTGCAATCATGTATTTTGATCCTTCTAACTGTATAGGTTCTGGACAGGCCATACAAAAATACTGCATATAGTTTTTTCAGTGTTTACACCCCCAAGATAAAGCCTAGAGACTTGCAGAGGTACATCCCCAGTGTTAGAAGGATGAGCAATGATTAGACAAACTTGGGCTCTTCAGAAACTATTTCTTGTGTTTGAGAAGCCTTCTTGGGCATCTAGTAACTCTACAGAGATGGAGACAAATAATCTTGCTGTGATTAGACTGAGATTTTATATCCAATAGATCTGATAAGGAAAATATATCTACTTATTTAATGTGATCTGTCCTTGAAATGAAGCATTAAATTGAGTTCTCACCTGCCTGATAAAGTCAGAATTAAAAATCTCATGATGCTATTTTGAAGAAGACCAGGGAGTTTTCCCAGTGACCAATATTCCCCTTTTACCTAACCTCAAGATATTGGACATTCATTTTTTTTCAGGTGATGTAGTTAGTGCAGATCGGGTGCCATGTTTGCTTATTTAATACTTCAGAAATAATTCATTGGGTGGAATGCTTTCAGATGTTTTCAAATAGAGCTGTGAATCAAATGCAAGTGATCCATTGATCCCATTCGTATTTACTGTATTTGTTTTCATTGCAGGTCTTCATGTCTTTCCAACATTTGTGCTTTATGAACTGACTGTTCTAATGTCTCTCACGCTAGCAGTGGTGCTGTTGAAGGTAAAAATAATGTACAGTAGTTCTTGGATTAAAATCATTTGTTGTTATTCAGCTGCTCAATGTTAGACATCAGTGCTAAAGGTTCATGATGCAGCCACAGTCAGAAATCATTGAATGGAATCTGACAATTTATTAATTATAGTTTAAATTGAAACTTGCTTACTAAACTTATTTAGTTTATGAGAGAATACAAATAAAGCACTCTGTATATGTGTTTGTTAGCTCTTCTTTACAAAACCTCAACATCGGAAATGTCCAGATATGATTTTGAAACTTTCACATCATTGAAAGTATGAGTCCTGTAGCTCAGTGTGGAGTCCTGTAGCTCAGTGGTTAGAGCACTCGCTTTGCAAGCGAGAGATCTGAGTTCAATTCCAGGCAGGTCGAAACCTTGGGCAAGTTTCCTTACTCCACACGCCTAATAATAATCCCTCCAAAACCAAAAACAATAATAAATTAGTTATTCAGTCTACAACTGTTTGTGGGACATTGCTGTGCGCAATTGGCTGCCACGTTCGCCCACAAATATATACAGTCAATTCACTTTACAGTGTGTTCTGTGAAGCACTTTGGGACGTCCTCCCGACGTGAAAAGCGCTATATCAAATGCAAGGATTATTATTATTATGAATATGTTCTCTAAAGATTTAAATACTACTCAGTAGAACTCAGAGGGTTAATTCTTACTATGAGGTCCAATAATTTGTATCACAATATACATTCAAACATGCATATAGTAGACATGAAATTCAAGGTTTAAAAGATCATACTTCAAATTAGGATGGTTAGTTTGACTATATTATATATAACAGTTTCTACTGTACATATCTGTATGGTAAGACATAATAATTGTGAAAAATTCAGTAGCAGTTTAATAGAAAAAGAAACATAACAATGTTCACCACAGGAGGCCATTGTGTCTGCTACGTGTATAATAAAATTAACCAAAAATGCTTACTAAAACAAGAGAAGCAATTAGCCACTTGATTGAAGTCCACTGCTTCCAAGTGGGATCTGCTTTATTTTCAGATGTCTCAAGTTCTATTTTCTTTACCTTCTGCAGCTTTTCTTAATGGGTTTGTTTCACTGCGCAAGAAGTGTAATAAACATTACTTTGTTGGCGATTATCAGACAAAGCAACAACAAAATTAATTTATATAGCGCTCGTCACGGGATGATCGATATCCAAAGCAGAAATTAAAGTACATATAATCATGTGCATATTTTTTTCCCTTTTTTTCCAGTTCGTTTTAGCAGTACTTGTGCTCTCACTGATCCTGCCTAAAAACAGTCAATACATCAAATGGATAGTTTCAGCTGGTTTGGCACAAGTCAGTGAGTTCTCCTTTGTTCTGAGCAGTCGGGCTCGCAGGTCGAGGATCATTTCTCGAGAGGTGAACTACTCTGTAGTTGGTTCTATCAAATTTATAACTTCATGTTTACCTCTGTGCATGTTATTTAGCATGTTGTGTTATAATGCAGTAAACTTAAAAGTAATGTTAATTAATTTGTTTCTCTTTAAAGGTCTACCTTCTCATCTTGAGTGTCACTACTTTAAGCCTTTTACTCGCCCCAGCACTTTGGAGAGCAGCGATTATGAAATGCTTACCTAAAGCAGAAAAGCGATTAATAACGTGACCGAGAAATCCACTGCTTTTTCAAGCATCGTCCTGGGTTTGGTTTTATCTTCAAATGTCTTGGATGCTATTTTTCTTTGCCTTCTGCAGCTTGTTTAAAGAAGTTCTGTTTCTCTGTGCAATTGAGTCAGATGTACTACAACGCCAATTTTATCTCCTTAAAATTAAAATGCGGTCACCTTTATCTGTTTCATTGCCTTTAACCGTCTAACTGTAAACTCCTGGATTGGAAAAGGAAATGGTTGTTTTTGTTTTATGCTATTCCTACATCCTGTCATCTCTTTTTGTTATTCCTGATGAAAGTGTGAAATAAGTTTACTCTGAATTAGCAGTCAAGCAGTTAAATGAGATTTATACTTGATAACAATGGATATGGTTTTTTGGGTGTCAGTAATGGATTGTTTAAAAGACGCTTAAAAGAATCAGCTATACTGTACATATTAAATCAAGAATTGAACCAATTTTCTTTACTAGTTTCCAATAAAGTGCGTGAAAGCATTGGTTAAGATCAGGAGGTTTGGAGAGAGGGATGTAGATTGAATTTGAAGCCAGAGTTTTCAGATGGTCTGGTCTCATCTCCATCACTAATGGATTGAACCAGTCATTACACACAAAAAGAGGTTGGCAACAGCAAAATTTTGTCCTATTGCAGATGCCATCACTTCTTTAGATGTGGACTGAGATAAACCGAAGATTAGGGTAAATCTGATTGCCATATATTTCAGGTTAGGAAATTGCAGAAGCAGTTTCGCTGATTTCAAGCCGTATGTATGGACCTATAGACCAAAGTGAATTGCACTGCTACAATCATTTCCTTGAGCTAAGAGAATTTGGCTGTTAGATCGCAATCTGGATTCCTTGAATCTCCTTCAATTGCACTACACCCACTTATCAAATATAGTTTCAGGATGACCAAGAGAATCACTCAATAGATGACTCTTAATTTCCATGTACATTTGCACATTAGTGCATTCCTCTGTTTGATATTTTAATTGAACATTTTATGGCCATGTGAATCTTGTTTGAACATCTGTTATAGGCCAAAGCATATGGGATATGGGACCAATAGATGATCACTAGTTAAACAGACCCAGGAACTGGACACAGGCTTCTTACAGTTTTGTCTTCTTATAGGCCATTAATTATAAGTGACAATCATTCATTTTAGCTAAAAATTGCAATCTACAGTTGAACCAAGGTATAAAGGGACCATTAAATCAATTTCAGTTGCATACAAATCACTTCATGTCCCAGCATCTTCCTTCCCCTCCAACCTGCTTACACTCCACTACATGCTCCCTTTGCTCAGCGGGCTCTGGCTTTCTCCATTTACTCTCTGCTCCACCGTTGGTGACCGTGCCTTTAGCTGGAACTCCCAGCCTCTGTCCCTCTGCATTCTCCCTCCTTGTCCGTCTTCAGATTGCACCTGAAGATCTTCCTTTTCGACCATGCCTAAGGTCGCCTCCCCCTAGCTTGGTGTCAAGTTAAGCCACTGTTAAGTGCCCCAAGTGAAGGGTGGTATATAGTTGTTAAATCCCAACCTGGCTAGTCAGTGCTTCCACATTCACCATGCTGGCCAGCTCCCATGCTGAAAAATACAAACTTCATCAAACGCCATCAGGTTGTTGTGTACATAGTTTCCTCTGTGCTACACAGTGCAGGGAGTCTCGGCAGCTGAACCTGTACAGGTTCAGTGAAAGGGATACACACTCCATTTATACAGTTCCACAAAGTGTGTTTGGCCTTCCACAGAAATTTTTGTTGTTGTACATCACTCAGAATAACAGTTCTGTGTGGTTAGACCTGGGCTAACTATACCTTATTTAGTAGTAATTGATTTTGCAGACTAGATAATAAAGATGTACCACTACCATCCATATTAATGTTATTGCTCAACTTCAGCTCATAAATGCAACAGAAAATGTTTTTTTTAAAAAAACCTTCCTCTAACCATATCCTGTTAAAGATTATTGGCTATGCTTTCTAAACCTAGATTCTACTGCAATTGTTTGTAATAGTATTTTATTGTAGCTTTTGCTACCTGATCACATCACTGATGTTTTTCTCATTCAATATGCAATGACTATTGTTGCAATGAAATACATGCATTGTAAATCTTTTTTTAAATAAAGGTTTTTTAAAAAAACAATGCCCTGACTTTGGATGTGTCTATTTACATTAGTGAAAATAATGCATAAACATGACATATTACATACATTTTACAGGACTTGCCTATCTAGGGCAGCCCTTCCCATTAGGAGATAGGTAGACATTTCAGCTATCAACAATGTCTCGATTACTGCAGATGTATCTTCACAGAGGCAGTTTGGCTCCACGGAGATCCTGTTTCGGCCTTTTAAGATGCAGCTGAAGTTATCCTCAGTACTGCTCAGTGAAGCATTAGTACAACCTATTGTCACAAGCACTCGAATAAATCCTGCAAACATTGCCATACTAAATGTTGGAATAAATGCATTCATGTGCAGCATTTAACGATTCTCTTCTGCTGATCTCTGCCTCCATAACCAAACAATACAGAATAACTACACTACGAAAAACTGAAACATTTTGAGACATTTTAATGTGATAATGCGCTTTAACAGATGCAAAGATGATTATTATTTTGCCCTGTTCACATACTTCAAGGAGCTAAATATAATTTACCACACTGCTTTTTTTTTCTAGTTGTATGACATTTGATGTTTGTTTTAAGGGTTGTGACACACTGCTGTGATTATGATATTAACCTGAATTCTACCATCCAATTATGTGGATACCAATACATTGTGCTTCTCTCAATTGTTCTGTTCTATCTTCAGTCATTGACTAGTTGGGTCAAATAGTCTGTTTCTGTGTTCTAAGGTTCTGTGTAATTTGTCATCTAATTCAAATGAATTGCAATTTTCCATTTGGTTGTCAGAAATATATAATGACAATGAGAAGGAAATGTGATATACAGTATAGGATATACAACACAGACCCTGGGACTAGCTTTTGGATCGATCTGGAAAACGAATCACAAAAAAGCACTGCAGTCTGGATGTTATACAGACTTGTTACTGCAATTTCTCTGGCTGATTGACTCTTGCATTGGGATCATGAGTCCTCATTGAAGTAAAGTTCACGTGACTGTTCCTTATCCTCACGTTACCACAGCAACTGAGGATTGAAGCAGCAGCCCTCAAAAACATAAGGGTATTTCAGCATTGGAGAAAAAGTCAAAGGAAAACAAACCTACATTTTTCTCTCTAAGTGCAAAGTGATAGATAACTAATTGAAGGTGGCCATCTTAATAATTGGGTGTTTTTTTGTTTTTGCTAAATTGCCTTGTTTGCAACCACACAGTCTGTTTGAGTTAAGCAACAGAAGCATAAAACAATCATGATGTACACAAGTAAAGTGGATGATAGAAATCTGCCATGGCTAAAAGAAAGTAAAGAAAAGAGCACACCAAGGTGAGAGATACCTTCAGTAATATTCATATATATACAGTATATACACATATATAATACAGTAATATTCATCATAAAAAGCAAAAGTTACTTTCATCAGCATATATTTATAAGCTTATGTTGTATAAATTGTATGGTGTGATTAAAAAAAAGCCAACAACATTTGTAATTATTTGAATCCCACAAACAAGATATTAAATAAGATATCTTCTGCTTGTGGGATTCAAATGGAGTCAAAGACGATATCCCCGGCCACTGAAGGCGGTAAGCAAGGTGAGGCGGGGGCAAGCAATACACGTTTACACGTGCGCAGGCCTGCAGAATTATTTTTCTAATGTACCGTTTCAGGCCTGGTCGAGCTATGTATGAATTCTTGATACAGTAACAATACAGTAAGACAGGGTGGGGTGTTTACTGTATTAAAATGATATTTTTTAAAAATGTAAATTTTCATAATGTGTTTGCTTAACATTCTCAACTTTTTTTCATAAACCATGTTTGTCCAGGTTAAGGTCAATTGAATTCCAGCAATGGGAATGATACCTTACAGTCGAGAAGAACCTTGAATCGGCTGCCAATTCACTTGAGAGATGCTGAATAACTGTTCTGGATTAGGAAGTCCCTCTTCAGAAACTAAGCGAATCAACGCTGCAATTTAATCCTAAAGTACAAGGGGTAAGGCATGTCAATTCAGATCAAATTAAAAATAATTGAGTTAGAAGATCAAGGAGAAATATATCTTGCAATACGATGTTCGTATTGAAACTCTGTGAGTGATTGAAAACACTTTTTCATTATTTGCATGAATATATATTACAGTGTTAGAATCCACATTGTTATCTCTACGGTTTTCTGTTTTGAAACTGAAAATGTATCAGTTTACTGATGAACTCACTACAAAGTAAAGCAGTTGATTTCCTGGTCCCTGAATGGCTTATCAAGTTTATCCAGTGAATAACTGAACCAGATTCAAAAGGTCTCCGATTCGAACTTCAGTCTGTGTTTAACTGTGGAACACTCTCCCTCAAACCCTCCTTCTTGCCCTCTCTCTCCCCTTTTCAAGTCCCACCTGAAAACCTTCCTTTTTGGCTATGCTTACGGTCACCTCCCCCAGTTTGGAGTCAGCCTCCGCCACTGTTAAGCGCTCTGAGGCACTGCCCTACATGGAGGGCACTATTATAAGTGCACGTTGTTGTTTAGTTAGCTGACCTCAGCCTGGGTGGCACTCGGGAGCTAGGATTGCCTTTATATCTCCAGATTAGGGAGAAGAAATTCAATCAGGGCTCCTCCTCGTGATTATTCTTCATTGACTCCTGCTGGAAGTGTTCAAGCCTGGGCATTGTGTGAGGACAGGCTTTGTCTCAGTTTGCAAAGCCTTCTGCATTTGAATGTCTGTTGGCAGTTCATACGAATAAAGCTCCCCCGTTGAATTTTGCGAGCAATGCAAACTAAAACAGGAGCCTGTTAAAAAATTTTTAAACCCATAAGAGGATTACTTACATTACTTACATTTCCTTGGTCCTCTAACCTGTTTCATTATAGGAATATCAGTATGTTTCTACATAATGGCCTGAAACACCCTTATGAAGAAACACACTGAAATTTCAGAACAAGACGATATAATCGTAAAAATCAGAGGTAGGCATTTGTCAGAATACAGCTGTGTGATAATGTCTTTGGGAAAATGCACTGGAATACAGTGGAACTTCTTTCAGCATAATTCATTTTAGTCGTAAAAACTCACACATTTCTATTTACGCAATCACAAAAATTATGAATTGTATATTGATAACATCGCTACACAAATGCAGTCTTTTACACTGTTTTAGAATGGTGCAATTACAAAATTAAGTCTGCAGAGATGTCAGTAAGGAAGGAATTATTTCCTATCAGTATTATTTGGTAAGTGGATAAAGTCTTTATATATAAGATGCTGACTCAGGACAATTCACTGCTCCTGTCATTTGTCCATTAGGGTTAATAAACCGGAACATGCAATTGGAGAAGATTAAGATTAAGGTAGCTCAGAATTTGCAGTATGAATCACACGTCACATTGAGGTTGGTTCCTCATGTTGGCAGAAGGTCTTTTGCCTGCTTGCTTGCTTATTATAGGCAAAAAGAAGATCAAATTTCTTGGGAAGACATTCAGACTGACATCAAACTGAAGTGGTGTGTATTGAACTATCAAACTCCAAGGGGTGTTATTGTTCTGAGCAAGTAATTGATTTTGGTGTTTCGGCAACAGCATTTGTACTGTCTGTCTTATGTTGTTCTTTTGGCCAAAGTAAAGTAGTAACACAAAAAATATCACGATGGATATAGGGGGTTTGCAGACAGTGGTGGCCAATTCTGCCTATATCTCTGCCAGGGGCAGTTTTGATGGGAATACCAATGTCCAGATGACCAGAGATAAAAAATTCCGAGCCAAACTCAAACTTCCTCACATTACTCAAAGTGAAACTCTTAAAGACAAGATTGACCTGGAGTTTGAAAGTATCTGTGTCAAACAGCCCATCGGGAAACGACTCTTCCAAGAATATTTAGAGAGTGTGGCAGAATATAAACCTGCGAACGAGATCTGGAAGGATATTGAAACCTACAATACAATTGAAGATGAAGATCGGGTTCAGAAAGCACAAAATATCATCAGCAAATACTTGGAGTCGGGGACTAAACTTTACTGTAGTTTTTTGGAAGAGAAGAGTATCCTGAGAGTAAAGGAAGATTACCAAAATGTCAGGGACGACCTCTTTGCAGAGTCCGAAGAAGCCACTGTGAAGTTCTTAAAAGATGCTCCCTTTGAGAATTACAAAGAGAGTATGTATTTTGATAGGTTTCTGCAGTGGAAGTGGCTGGAGGCTCAACCCATTGGAGAGGAATGGTTTCTGGACTTCAGAGTGCTTGGCAAAGGAGGATTTGGGGAAGTGTCTGCCTGTCAGATGAAAGCAACGGGAAAGTTATACGCCTGTAAAAAACTGAACAAGAAAAGATTGAAGAAAAGAAAAGGATATGAAGTAAGATTGCATAAATTTCACTTAAAACTTTATTGCGGTAAAAAATATCAAAAGGTGCATGTTACATCCTGCAAAATGTGGGTTACAGTAATTGGATTAGGGGATGCCAATAACTAGCTGAGGTATGATTAACAATCATCTCAATGACCTTCCATTTGAATCTGACCTAGGAAATGGATTAGCAGATACAGTCCACTTATGGGATTCTCAATAGTGTAAACAAGAACAAGTTGCATTTATATTAGCACCTTTGACGTTGGGAAGATGTAAAGCATGGCTATTTCCTCCTCTTCCTCAAAATAAAGTAAAACTCGCATAAAGTCTAATCTGTATACATTGCATAAGTCATACCAAGTCCCGTTAGGCAAGTTTGACTTGGCTCATCCTTTGCATAACTCATATTAAATGTATAGTCACAACTGATACAACTTAAATGAGGTTTACTGTAAAATCCATTTCTGCTTTGCACAGAGCACAAATGCAATGTTTATAAAACTGTGCCTGTCTTAGATGGATGGTAAATTGACATTAGAATTAAAATTTTCTCACCAAGTCCAGTTGATAGTGGCATTATTTTCAATATCTTGGATAAACTTGTGTCTTCAGATAATTTTAACATTTCTTTCCTCGCAATGAAGATAATTTATATGTAACTTAATTGAGTAGAGGTAAAAATTATGTATAAATGAAAGGCAAAGATGGTAAAAATTAAAGAAAATAATTAAGGTTTAATACTTGATTAGAAATCTTTAATGCTGAAATCTCCACTATTGAACTTAAATTTGTACAGCTGAGGAACCTGGAAAATGAACGTACAGATCCGTCATAATTGTTCACCTTAGAATATTGACTGCAAGACATCCTACCTGTTCATGTAAATGACTTTGTTCAGTAATGTACTGTATTTCTGCAGGTCGGTGTAATTGATGGCCTGCAGGACTTTAGAGCAATAGCAGAGTTGATATTGTGCTTTGGTGCCAGTGAGAAAAACAACAACAAATTGCATTTATATAGCACTTTTCATGTTGGGAGGACTTTGCACCCGAGCTGGGGGTTGGAATCAAGAGGGGTGAAGGGCTAGGGGGCTGGGGGGGGCAGGATGACTAAAGGCACAGTCAAGGGAGGGGGTGAGGTGAAAAATTCTGGCATGGAGTTCCAGAGAGTAGCGCAGAAAGACTGAAGGGCCGACCACCAATGCAGATCCAGCAGCTGATTCCCTTAAGCACAGCAGCAATGACCCAAATAAAAAAGCTATATTTGGATAATTGAACAACCCCCACGGGGGAACCTAATTAGCTTTAAAACGTTCCAGAGGATGAGTGCCGTGATTCCCTTTACTGACATCAGCAGGAAGATTGGATGGGCACAAATTAGATATCATATGGCACCTTTTAAAAATCTAGTCTACCTTGTAATGGTCAATGTCCGATCAGACAATGTTCCACTACATTAATGGCATGTTAATTTTCCTGAGCATTCTGTATCTCATCAGCATGAATCCTTTTGCTGTTTTGAGACTTAATAATAATCCCTGCATTTAACTTCTGCTAATTACAGCCACAAATGCCTTTGCTGTCCTTTTGCCTATGTTAGTACAGTACTATACTGTGGAAAACATGGTGTTAATAATGTCAAATAGCCTGAATCGATAAATATGTGCATTTATTGCTAAAAGGCACTAGAGTTGGGAAAGTACACCTGTGCATTAATGTAAAATGTTGCGACAGGCAAAGTTAACCTTTTTATAAATTTTATAAATAGATGTAAAAGACAGTCAGCAACCCAATATGCTGCTAAAAGAGATTTCTGATGATGACGATGCTCAATGACTGAACAGTATGATAATCTGCCAAAAATGTAATTTGAATGTGATACTTTGGCATAAAATGAATACGTTCAATTGTTGAAAACAAGACCGGTATCTTGCATTTGCATTGTGCTGTGGAATTGTATGGGCTTTGAAAATGTGGAATATGCTGCGAAAGTTGTAGAATTAATTGGATAACGTTAGATATACATAGAGATGGATTAGATAATAATCCTTGCATTTGATATGCATTTATAGAAATACATACAAATTGGCAATCATTGCCAATCTCACCTCTGAGAAGCCAAAGGGAAAGTTGGTACGGTCGAAGTTTGGATCAAGGCACGTTGAGGGGACAGAGAAAATGGGAGATTGGCTCTGAATCTAGCCCGTGCTTTGCTAGACCAGGAGTTATTTCATACTGGTGCTAAGTTCTGAAAGTAGAAATAACTTTCAGTTCTTCATCACTGACATCCTATATCTTTACGAGCACTGTTTTTTTCAGTCCCATAAGTGTAAACTGGAGAAAAGTCTGCATCAATATGGCTGGGAGGATGGGGAAAAAAAGGAAGTAATCTTTGTCTAGGATTCCCTTTCTAGTTTAATATTTAATGTTGTACTTGCTAATACTATGAATAAATCAATGTTTGTTGAAAAATAATTTTTTTAGGATTAGTACATAGAGTAACCACACTGAGCACGAAAAGGAAAAAAAGTGGAGCGCTGTATCTTAGTGGTTAGAGCACTCACCTCGCAAGCAAGAGGACCTGGGTTCGATTCCCGGCTGGGTGAAACGTTGAGTAAGTTTCCTTACTCCACACATCTGCTTACCTAGCAGTAAGTAGGAACCTGGCTGTTAGTTGATTGGTGGTTCGCTTTTCCAGGGGTAATAATTCCTTCAAAATAAATAAAAACAATTTGGTCACTCAATCCATGAGTGGGACACTGCTGTGCACAATTGGCTGTCGCGTTTCACTCACAAAATATACAGTCAATTCTCTTTACAGTATATTCTGTGAAGCGCTTTGAGACTTCTCAAAGAAGTGATAAGGTGCTATATCAAATGCACGGATTATTATTATTAACGATATTTCATCCCTGAAATGCTTGTATTATTTTCTGGCACAAATGCCTTCCTATCAAAACAGACACACATACACATATTTATCTACAATAAGGTTTAAATCCAAGTGTTTAAACATTGGATCCTGCAAATATTGGACACTGCAAGTGTCGGACACTACAAGTGCATTCCCCATCAGAAACACTTCCATTTTTTCCACCAGAGATTTCTGTGTAATAAGGATTTGAAACTGTTCAAACATTGGATTCTGCAAACTTTGGACTTTGATAACATTGCATACTGTGAAATGAAACTGCATTCATTTTCCATCTGGACATCCATTAAGTCTTCATCTTAGCTGGATGTGACATGAGAACACAAAGCTCAATTTGCATCTTAGTCTCTGCCATAACTGCTGGAAATTGATAAATTATTTCATCTATTGACCAAAAAGCCAAGGGCCCTAGACAAGATATATAGTATGTTTCACCAGATATTTTACCATTTCGATAATGCATGTTTAATGAATTTGCAAGCCAAAACATTTTTGCCACTAGAATGGTAGCAAGTATCATTCTTCTTGAGGTCTCCAAAAAATTCAATCTTGCTAAAGTATTTCAGTCTTTTGTTAGGAGACATATTGGTGTTCACAAATCAAACACGGCATTGACATTCAACAAGTACACATTCCTTGTTACTTTGGGATATTTGAAGCGGTACTCGTACAGCCGAATTGATGTTTAATCTGTTAGTGCACAATTTATCAAACTAGACAGGCTCCTTTGGAGGATTTAGCAAGAATTGCAAACTTATTTTGTGACTACAAGTGACCTGTAACTCACTCTATCTAAAGTGGATGAAAGTTGGACGCTTATCACTGTTGGGTGAGATGGTTCCAGCCTCATGGAGACTGCATTGCAGTGCTTGAGGAAGTTATAGGACTAGGGACCAATAATTCTAGATATATTGTCAGATTAATTTATGTAAATGGGATATAATTGTTGACCAATATTAAAATGGATAATCTGTAATAAATTAGGTTTTTTACTATTGCAATAATAATCGTTGTATTTGATATACGCTGTATTTTGTGGGTGAAACGTGGCAGCCAATTGTGCACAGCAGTGTCCCGCAAACAGTTGTGGATTGAGTGACCAAATTATTATTGGTTTTTTTCTTGAGGGATTATTTGAAGTGTTTACCCATTGTTTTTAATTCTCATTCATGTTTTTTTTTAGATGCTCCATAATATGCATCGTCCATGAGACTATAAGCATTCTTGGGAGATATTTTACAGCATTGGATGATGATGGTGAAGGGCAGATTTCCATAATCACCAAATGTGTTCTAATGAGAGGGAAGGTCCACCTTATGCAAAATATAGTAAAAATCTTCACTGTTTATTGCTGAATCCTCAATGATCCCTACACAAGAGTACCTGAAGAATGGGAGATGTTTGTACTGACATAAGAGACACATGTTGGACGCTGATGCAATGCTCCAACTATCTTCTGAAGGAAGTTTAGATAATTGACCAGTCAATTGATAATGCCCATGTCACCAGGGTGCACATTATCAATGACAGTAACATTATGAATTGGGCTGGGCCAAGGTGACAGAGCAAATGGATTGTCCATTCAGTTTTCTCAGCACACAGGTGAAAAACCCTCCTCCACATTGTTCCAGGAAGTAGTCTGTCAGAGTCCTTATAGGCATTTGAAGACTTTCCCACAGTAGCCTAAGGCCAGGATTAACACCTGTAGCTCAGGTGACAACCACTCCCTCTAAGGTATTGTGCAGTGAAGGAACATCCATAGACTAATCCTGCCAAAGCTTGGCAGCTAATCAGGCAGAATAGTTTCCTACTGTTCCTATATATCCTATATATGATCCTATGCACGTTATTTTTAGTGGTTCATCATCACTGTTTGGACATATCGTTTTGTATATATTGTTGCATGAATTGCTCAGGTGCTGCACACATTCCACAGAGACATTTCTTCTTTCCCCATTATGTTTTTGCTCAGGTTTTCTTCCCTTCTCACTCAATTTCTTCTGCTGCAGTATGGTTCGATGGTTCTAGTACTTCATCTGAAAATGCTATTCATATGTGAGTCTTCATCACATTGGGATTGCCTATTGAGAGCATCACAGCCAACCCTGATCCTGTCCTCATCCAACATCCATATACCGGCACTTTCCAGCAGATGTAGTTAGCAATCAGGAGCAGACTTTTCCCTCACTAGCCAGTGGCACTCACACTTAATTGAGACACTGTCCAAGTTGAGAATAGCTAACCAAGTGTGGGGATTCAAACCTGCAACATTTGGGGTCTGTATGGAGTTGTATTGCTTGGGAATGTGCCTTTACCCACTTTGGCTTCAGCTAAAATTCTTTACAGATCACGCAGAACAAATTATTTTCTTTACAGATCAACACAGATCATCTCTTAAATTTTGTGCAACTGCTAATATTCAGCTGTTAAACATTTGAATTTTCTACCCTTTGCTTATCTTTTATTTGCCTATAATATTTTTTCTAGCTGTTGAAAAAAACACATGTGTTTGTCATGAGTGTTCCCAGTCTCCTCCCACCCCATCCCCCTATCCAGGTTTTCTAATTGAAATGTAATTTAGAACTCTGTAACAGTTTTTTTGAAGTGAATAAAGAGTAGCACAATAAGCATATTTCTCTTGATTTTCCAGGGTACTATCGTGGAGAAAAGAATCCTTGCACGGGTTCACAGTCGTTTTATTGTCTCCTTAGCTTATGCATTTCAAACCAAAGAAGAACTGTGTCTGGTGATGACAATTATGAATGGAGGAGATTTAAGGTAATCAAGTAGAATATAATTAGAACATTTCTCTAAAGATTTCACAAGTGCAACAAGCCACGTATAACTATGATGTATCTGATTCATTTTACGGAAGAATAAAAATGCAATAGAACTACAATCTGTTCATTAACTGGGTCAAGTTATCATTCACTTTGTAATTGGTCTTTTCTGGGAGCTATCGCATAGCAGCTTGAATGAAAGCTTACAGGATTTAAGAAATAAATTTTCTTCAATGAAAAATTGTAGAGGATGTAGAAAATTGTAGAGGATGCTTGTAAAGGATGATTCTCTGATCGGCAATAAATTCCTGGACCTTGATGACAAGAGCACTATGTTTTGCTCTGCTCTGTTGAACTTAATAGTGTCAGTTAATAATGAGAAATTATATTCTAAAATGAACCCAACACGGTTTTTATTTTGGTCAGTTGAGGTCTGACGCATGCAAAAAAACACCTCACCATATTTAAGATTCTCCGAGCCAAACTTCTGAGGGTTCCACATATGTATGCTTTCATTTTGTCTGGTATACAGGGCACACTTTCTCTCTAGGGACACGCCCTTCTTACCTAATCTCGGAGAATTTAGACACAGGTTGGAAACCGCAGAATATGTATTGACTACTGCTGCTAAATGTTTCTTGTCTCTGGCTCCAATAACCTAACCTTCCTCGTAACCACAAGATCACAACACAGGTTCAAGTGAAGAATGCCCTTCAGTGCCTTTGACTCAGATGTTACCACTTTCCAGAGGGAAGTTCTTTCAATCTCATTGTTAAGAGGTGAAGAACGATGCTGACAATAGGCAGTCTCATAAATTGGTGGTGGCACTTGAGTGCATTTGCTATTCAATACAAAGTACGATTTGGGGCAGTAATTCAACTTGTGGTGGACAGAAGTCTATTTAGAGTTTAGTTTGTAGTTAATTGTAGATGGTTACGGTTATTAAAGTAGTTACGGAGCAATGAAACTGATATTCTGATTTGACGTTTGTATTCTTCTACCTTTCTAGGTATCACATTTACAACGTTGATGAGAACAATCCAGGTTTTGGTGAAGATAGGGCATGTTTCTACGCAGCTCAGATTGTCTGTGGCATGGAGCATCTCCATCAGAACAAGATTGTTTACCGTGATCTCAAACCAGAGAATGTTTTGCTGGATAATGAAGGTGAGCTGAGAGATTCGAATTCATCAAACACTAAGCTGGTAAACAACTTAGCTTCTACATTGCTGCTATGTTTATACTCATTTCTCCTATATCAAGGATGCTTTTAAATTCCTATGATTGATCCAGAATAATTAGACGCAGAACACCAGCCCATGATAGCATCAATATTAATCAGTGGTCACTGAGGAATTTTGGAATTTAAAATATAGAGAAAGAGAGAAGTGCAAATTATGGAACCGCTCAGTAAAAACATACTAACACGGCAGTTGGTGGAGGGAGAGGTACTGTAACGTATGTCAGATCATTGGATCACTAACATTTAACTGAAACATCAGCTCTAAATAATTTGAGATAATTTTGAAGTGAAGAGCAACAAAGTGAACAGCTTTATTATGAATATATTTTTCAAAATACCTGGAACAGCAAGAACAACTTGCATTTATTTAGCACCATTGAAATCACTATCATTCATTGAAACAGCCTGAGGTCACTGAGGTGTCTACATGAACTTTAAAAGTTAGGCTATAAAGATTTCTAAGTCATATAAACTGATATAATTTGGTTCAATCAATGGTAGTTATACGATACTGAGTTGTTATTCAATTGTGTGAGCTTGGTCCGGTTGAAAACAGTCTCACCTTTGGGACTAAAGTTTGAGGTTCAAATCCCGTGCTTGTATCAAATGCAAGGATTATTATTATTCACTGAATCAATGAGGAAAAATGTGCAGTATAGCTTAGTGTGTTATTTGTCTTCATTAACACAAGGAATGCTTTAAGCTAAGGTAAATCTACAAATGTGTTACTGTCTCCCATGTTCCCATTATTTTAAGCATTTCAGATCCAAATGGTCAGTGAATTTGTTGCTTAGTTCCCGCCAAGCGCTGATAAGGTAGCGTCTAGTGAAAGGCTAAAGGGAAACTTACTTGACAAAGCAGGATGCTAAAGTACTTTGACTAGTCCTGACGTCCTGCATACAGAATGAATGCACCCCCTTCCGCTCAGCTAACTCAGGCCTGCTGCACGTCTCCTGCTCATTCTGCATTGCTATCAGTGAACCATCAGCTTCTGCACCCCGAACCTCTGGAACTCCCTCCCCTTCCTATTGTCTTTAAACCTATTAACCTGCACGCCTATTGCCACCTTCCCATTCCTCCTTCTCTCTTGCTTGGCATACGATCTCGCTTTGAAGTGCTTCGAAATGCTAACCTATATGAGGGGCGCTAAATAAATGCAAATTCCATCAGATGAGGTACAGTTTAAAAGGTTACTATGGGGCTGGGGGGAAGAAGAGGAAAGCTTGTCGACCTGTGCCAGTCTTGCACAGGCTCCAAACATCCTGTTAAAAAGTGACATCGCACAGGCATGAGATCAGACTACTTGACTGCCTTACATTTACATGGTGTCTTCAGGAGATAAAAGGGAAAAAAAGTGAAATGAGGAAATATCTAATTTCTTTCTTTTCTGATTGTTTTTGCAGGACATGTTCGTATCTCTGACCTTGGGCTTGCTGTAGAACTTGGTGAAAATCAAACCAAGACAAAGGGCTATGCAGGAACTCCAGGTATGTTTATCAATTGATCATAAACACTAGCAATCCTGATTAGGCTTTGGCGCAGTCTGAGAATGGGAACTAAAAAAAGCAAATTGTTTTAGATGTGCAAAACCTATGGAGAGAAATTTCACTTGAGTCAAGATTTATTCTATTTACATATTACAAAGCATACTAAGTGCAAATTGGCTGTGGTATTCACCCACAAAATACACAGTCATTATCCTCTACAGTAAATCCTGTGAAGCAATTTGAGGTTTCTTCCGGACATAAAAAGCTTTATCAAATGCAAGGGATATTGTTATATTATAAGCAGAATTTGATGAATTGTTGACTTCAACCTTAACTTTGTAGCTGGGTTTCTGTAGTTTTCAAAAGAAACTTATAGAAAACTGCCATTAAATTAAGATTTTATTTAAGAATTTGCCAAATTCTGGACAGTATAAAATTCTATATGAATAGACCCAGATGGAATTACCTGCCAGTTTCTTCCTCCGATTTTTATTTCTTTGAAAATATATCTCATTCATTTACTTTGGATGTCCTAGCAATGCTTGTTTTATATGGACAAGTAGAATGAACAAAAGTCTTGCTGGTCTAATCCAGATCCTAAAAAGAAAAAAATCTGAAAAACCTTGTCATATACAAGGTTTCAAGAGAATTTCAAAGTCAACTTCAGTGACTTTCTTTTTTTACTAAGAACAAAGTAACCCTCTAAACAACATGTTTGTGTCTCAAATATTGGTCCGTGGCTAAGATGAGTCAGGTGACGCAGACAGACTAGACAGACTGGTTTGTTGCCATCAAAATACTGTATTGTTCTTTGTGTATGATCAAGTGTAAAGTGCCACCTCACTTGCCATTTCCTGCACTGCTTCTTCCAGTCATCATGCGATTTACGTCACGTAAGTGACTCATTTACATGCAAGAAATTTGTGCAGCCTTTTGTGCAGCAAAATTCCATAAGCAGTCATTCAGTGAATAATAATCCTTGCATTTGATATAGCGCTTTTCATGTCGGGAGGACGTCCCATAGCGCTTCACAGAACACACTGTAAAGTGAATTGACTGTATATTTGTGAGCGAACGCGGCAGCCAATTGTGCACAGCAATGTCCCACAAACAGTTGTAAATTGAAAATGACCAATTTATTATTGTTTTTGTTTTTCGGAGGGATTATTATTAGGCTCTGTGTGGAGTAAGGAAACTTGCCCAAGGTTTCGCCCTGACCTGCCTGGAATTGAACTCAGGTCTCTCGCTCGCAAAGCGAGTGCTCTAACCATTGAGCTACAGGACTCAATGATCAAATAATGGGGAAGGTTGTTGGCCAGGATACCAGGAAAAAATGCCTTCTCTTCAAATTTACTTTGCAAGAATCTTTAGCATTCACCTGAACAGGCAACCTTGTTAAATTAAATTTAAATTAAATTTAATTAAACTAAATAAAATTGTTAAATTAAGGAACCTTGCTTTAATGTTTCATCTGAAAGATGGCAACCTCAGGCAACACAGAACTCTTGTGTTCTGCGCTGGATGTAAATAACATTGGAACACATCAAAGTTGAAATTGACGCAAATATTTCCAGCTCTTCTTCCAAAATCATTTTTCTTCATATTTGTTTACTAAGAAGTGCCTCGTTGAAATTCTGTTGCACAGTATTTTAATTGTAAATGATAATATTATTATGTTACTATTTGGGCATCAAAAAATTTATTTAATTGTTAGCTTTATCCTCTTTCTTTCCTCCCCTCGACATCCTCCCAACATGAAAGACCTGATGTGAATGTAAATTTGTATTATTGTTGTAGTACCCAATTTTTTCATTTGTTGGGTTAGCTAATTCTTAAACTGAAATGTTTCCACTTCAGGTTTTATGGCCCCAGAGTTGTTAAAAAGTGAAGAATATGATTATTCAGTGGATTATTTCACGCTGGGTGTCACAGTGTATGAAATGATTGCTGCAAAGGGACCATTTCGAACCAGAGGAGAACATGTAAGCAGCCATCTTAAATCGGGGTTAATACTTAGATTGTAACTATTTATAGTTTGTTCAGGGTTTTATGATTATTGATCATAATAAATACATTCCAGTTGGCAAAACAAGTTTCTGATTGACGAAGAGCTTATTGATACAAAACCTGAGCAATAGCTTTTCACATTTAATTGTGGAAAATAATTGAAAATAAAATGTAATTTGGTGAGCAGAAAGGTCACAGTATAATAATTTGCACACGTTTTAATGTTTCAATGCAATAAAACAATTAAACATGTTTCCCCTCTTACATTTTGCTGATAAAACTCTGAATTGAACTGGTGCTGACTGCATTAAACAATAGGGTTGCCCACTTGGTATATTAATATTTTAGTTCTCATGAAATTCTTATTTTCTGTTATTTGACCAGATTCAACTAACCAAATAGAATTTCTAAAAGTAGATTAAAAACCCAAACTAAATGAAGTAGCAGTGTGGTAAAAGCTGCAGTCCAAAATGTGGAACATTTCTTGAATCTTTCATTTTATTTCAATTATTGCCTTGCCTTAAAATGTTGCTGGGCAAGATAGTTAAGCTCTGGTACATGTGTGAAACTATTGCAACTTGGGACACATTCAACTGAGTTCTTGAATCCTAACTTTCACAAGATCACAAGAGTGATTCAAATGAAGAAGGCCCTTCGGCCCATTTGATCTCATCCTTTCAGAGTACGCAACCTATCGTTTTTTGCATTACCAAATTAAGTTGTTCTCGTCCAGCATTCTTGCCTTAATCAACTTCCTGATAACCTGTTCCAGTCATTAATTGCCATCTGGGTAAAGAACTACTTTCTGAAATTGGCCTTTGCAACATTAATATTTCTATGTAAATTATATAATCCTATGAAATTTGGTTATGGGGAGCGTTTGAAAAATGTAACGTGTGGTCTGCTAATTACCATCAGTGACAATTAACATCTTGTGCATTTTTCTTGACAAAATGAGGAAAGAAAAGAGAGAACAGTTCTTCCCCAGTGAGTGCACACATACTACCACCTTGGGGAGTTATGGGGAAAAATTGCTATTGGTTGTTCTTTGTATAGTCCACACAATACCCCTGGAAAATACATATCATGATCTCACAGGTTGTGCATTTTAGCCATACTGATAACACCATTCTCACCAACAGTGTGACTAACCTCTTGTTCAAAGCAAAATTAAGTGCAAAAAACAAAGGTCCTGTCCCGATTCATTCCTAGATGAATATTAGACATTAGCAATGTCTTTGAAACAAGTTAAACATTGTTTTTTTTTCCAGGTTGAAAACAAAGAAGTAAAAAGACGTATTCTTAATGACCCAGCGTCTTACACAGAAAAATTTAGTGAGCCATGCAAAGCATTTTGTGAGGCTTTGTTGGAGAAAGATCCCAATAAGCGCGTTGGATTCAAAAATGGAAACTGTGATGAATTAAAAGCACATAGCTTCTTCAAAGATATCAACTGGAGGAAACTCAATGCCGGTAAAGTACATCAGTGGGCCTTTAAATGTACAAAGTTGCTCTATAAATTTGGGACTGTATTTCATTTCTGTTAACCAAAATTTTTTTAGGACCTGATGGAACACGTACCAGGTCCAATCTTGCTGAACATACAGGATGAGCAGGAGAGTGATGCTGGAGTAAAATCACAGAGCTAGGGTGGTTTGAGGGTGTGACGGGATTTGTAAGTGAGAGTGAAGACTTTGAAGTCACTGAGAGCCAGTGAAGCCTGGCAAGGACTGGGATGATGGGCAAAAGAAGTTTGGTGTGGCGTGAAGATGTGTGTGCCTAATTTTGGTCAACCTGAAGCTTGCAGGTGGTAAAACCTGGGAAGCCAGCGGAGAAGGGAATGATAAGTCAAGTCTGGAGGTGACAAAGCATGTATAACAGTTTCAGCTGCATTAGGCGTGAGCTAGGAATTGAGATGGGCAATGTGGTGAAAGTAAAGGAAAAGTGGTCTGCTTCAAGGACTAGATGTAATGAAGGACAGAGTGCTGAGTTTGGATCGGAACACCAAGACTGTGCATTGGCTCAGTCAGTTGGTGAGAATGTATGGGAAAGTTTGAAGAAGTTGGAACCAGAAACAAGGAGACGTTAGTGAGTAAATATTGATTTGCATGTTAAACAAGCAACCCTTCATTTGCATATTGTTACAAGTAGAAAAAATAATATAGTTCTAACAAGTGGCTATCAGCTATAGTTTATTTTTACTGTAACAATAATCAAATCAAATGAGGAATCCTTTTTCTTTGTCAGATTTCATAATTTTACAGCCTCAATGGAAATAGGAACAATATGTTCTTAATATCCCGAAGCTTGATTTTACGTGAGATGTGGTTAGTGTGCTCAATGTGAGGCTGCCTTTTATTATTTGACACAACCTGGTTACTCCCCCATAGATCACATCAGTTCTTATCAATGGTACTTTATCCTACCCTCATTTATTTTACTTTCAATAAGTAAACTTAAGCTGAACAAATGTTGCCCAGAAAGAATCAGACAAAATCTTAATTTCATTAAGATTCCAATCATTTTCCTATTTATGAAACATTGGACTGAATTCCAATATTACTGTCATAAGTGCTCCGAGATGCTACCTCACATGAAGGGTACTATATAAGGCACGTTGTGGTTATTACTCTTGTGTCCCACATATGGAAATTGAGCCCACTTTGAGCACAATTTCCCATTTCATTGAAGCCAATTTAGGATGGACCAGTAGTTTTCCTTCTGGAGCTCAGACACTCAGTGTTCACACACGGACAACTCAATGTTTACATAAGGAGAGTTTGCTGAACATTTTAGTGAGGTGAGGACAACCCTTTCCATACCACCAAGTGTAATACTAATAATAATCCTTGCATTTGATATAGCGTTAATTCACGTTGGGAGGACGTCCCAAAGCGCTTCACAGAACACACTGTAAAGTGAATTGACTGTATATTTGTGGGCGAACGCGGCAGCCTATTGCGCACAGCAATGTCCCACAAACAGTCGTAGATTGAAAATGACCAATTTATTATTGTTTTTGGTTTTGGAGGGATTATTATTAGGTGTGTGGAGTAAGGAAACTTGCCCAAGGTTTCGCCCTGCCTGGAATTGAACTCAGGTCTCTCACTTGCAAAGTGAGTGCTCTAACCACTGAGCTACAGGACTCCACAAGTGTACCTGTAACAGAGAGCTGCTTTGAGAGTAATAATAATCCTTGGATTTGATAAGCTCCTTATCACATTGTTGAGACATTTCAAAGCCCTTCACAAGAATATATTGTGGAGTGGATTGACTATATTTTGTGGGCAAATTTTTAAAAAAATTTAAAAAAATCACTGCCCTGTTTTTTAAACTCATGTGTAAGAGAAAGCAATAGAATAGTATGATTTGATTTAGATTTCTCTTTGATTTAGATTATTTGCTTTCTTATAGGTATACTCCCACCTCCCTTTACTCCAGATTCCAAAACAGTATACGCAAAAGACATCCAAGACGTGGGTGCCTTCTCAACTGTGAAAGGTGTTAATTTTGATGATCCAGACAAGGAGTTTTTCGATGAATTTTCAACTGGAAACATTACCATTCCATGGCAAGAAGAGATGATAGAAACAGGGCTCTTTGGAGAACTCAATGTGTGGGGACCAGCTGGTGGATTACCAAATGATTTAAGGAGAGATTCTATTCTGGAGCCTCCTCCTTCCAAATCAGGCGTGTGCTGCATTGCTTAAACATGTAAAGAAACTGTTCTAGGCTTCATATTTTAGGAATAGAATGGCTCATGTACATACTTTGAAGCTTAAGGGGAATTTCTGAAAGATTTACAAAGAATGTATAGCACGGAAACAGGCCACTTGGTCCAACCAGTCCAACTAGTCGCGATCTTCTATTTGTGACCCCTGGTATGGACTCTCCCAACCAGTAGAAAGAACCTATTCATGTTAACCTTATTGAACCCTTTTATAATTGTAAGCACTTCTATTAGGTTTTCCATTAAAATGTCTCAAATAAAACCCCAATGCATTCAGTCTACCCTAATCCCAGGAACCTGCCTGCTCTGGTATCATCCTTGTAAACCTACGCTGTACTCTTTCCATCGCAGTTATATAATCTTTCTATAATATGGAGACCAGATTTGGACACATTACTCCAAATGTGATCTTACCAAGGTTCTATACTACTGGATATAAAGCCCATTGGCCTTTTTAATAGCCTTATCTACCTGTGTAGCTATTTTTAGAGATTTGTGGATCTGAATCCACAAATCTCTTTATTCCATTACTCCTCTTAGGTTCCTACCATCTAGACTGTAGATGGCTTCTTTATTTTTTTCCTACTGAAGTGAACTACTTCATGTTTTGCTACATTAAACTTGATTTGTCATCTGCCCATTCTGCTAGCCTGGTTATGTCTTCCTGCACTTTTCTGCAATCCCTTTCACTGTTTACCACATTTTCCTTCTCCAGTAATTTGGGAGTGCTGACAGTTTGGCCAACAATTAAATCCAATAACATATAAATGCAATTTTAGAGCTTGCAAAATATGTTACTGTAAAAATTACATTATATCAATAATATTTTGTATCTTAGACATGGTTCATAACAGACAATGATTTAAGCTAAATTCTGCTATGTAGAAGAAAATCTTTGCAAACAATTGTTAATAGATTATATTCAAATGTATTATATTAGAATGATACTTTATGCAAAAGCTTCCAGTTTGAAAAAAGGTAAACAAATATGTTCTATTCAATGTGAGAATTATTTATGCATAGGAGTGAAGTATTCTCTCACACAATGATTTTATCCTGAGATTTGCAAGAGTGAAATAATGCAATAATCTTGCATTGTGCAGTTGATGTGCTGAAATTACTAACACAGAGTTGTGGTAGTTTTCTACACAACATAATAATTTAGAATAAGTTGAAGTACTCACAGAGGAATAGTCTATTATAGCTGGGTGGATTTATTTCAGGGTGAAGCAATTATTTGTGTATTGTGAAGCTGAATTTGTCTGTTGGAAGGTACAATTGTATTTTATTTGGGGTTGTAATCTATGGAGGCAAATTTGACCTGGGTCTAGATTTACCCTATTTTTGTAGCATTTCAGAATATTCAGGATTCAGCAGATTCTTAAATACAGCCTTAATTTTAATTTCTCTATGTTTCTTTTAAGAACTAGAAAAATAACTTGAAAGTTAAGACTGAATTCAGCTATTTGCCAAATTCTAGTTGCTCTGAAATGCCACATAAATAAAGTAAATCTTGAACCAAGTGGGACTTCTCCTTCCCCGTTTCAGACATAGCAGCAGAAGAGACATCAGATGCTACAGAAACACAAATGTTTAGTGTTTAGCTGGAGAAAGCAAGAGGGTTTGTCAAACAGCTACAGACTGAAAAATTAGACATGCAATATATAACCCATCGCATGTTGGATTTTTCACTTTATTGTGTGATAAATGCCTTCTTAGATCTTGAATAAGAGTTCTATTCTGACTGTCATTGTCATTGGAAATGTATCACATCAGTGCTACCTGCCCAAAGTTTCATAAATTAAAGCAAATAGTGGAGCTTACTGAAAACTGTAAAGAGTAAAGACGTAATAAAATATCTGAAACAAACCACACAAACAATGTTCTAAGTAGCAGGGTTTTATCCAGCCTGAATTTCCATTTATATTGGTGATTTCCACGGTCCCGTGGTGAATCTAAAATGCGTGTGTGTGATAAGCGTAAGAAAAAAAAATCTTTCCATTTAGTCTTCCAACAATGGCCACTTTCCACACACTTTGTAGTTCATTTCCTCCAGCTACTGAAGAGCTAGATTGCACAGGATCTAATAAGTGGCACTTTCTAATTGGATTCCTTGATCAGAGTATATTATATATAAATTATTATAAACCCGTATTCTATATAAGCCATTATTAGAAATTCCTTATTCTTAATAAGGAATCCGCGTGGTAACTCAGATTTGCACAAAAAATGAAACCCCAGGTTTTTTCAGGGTCTTTTGTTGTGTTAAAAAGGAAAAAAATTGGGGAGGAAAAATTTGACACAAAAAAGTGTAAATTTAGTGTAAATCAGGATTTTTACAAGCCAAGTACAAACAAAATACTTGTTTTATTGATGAACACAGTTACTGATAGAGAGGTACTGGTAGAGAGATGATCATACATGTAAATGAGACCAGCACCATTGCAGATAAGCAATCATTGTGTTACTGCAAGGTGTCATGTTTGGTAACGGAATGTCGGAATCGAGCCAGCCCTCTGTGGTCTAGTTGTCCAGTTCCTGAGCCAACCAGGTCCGCAGTATTCAAGGGCGCTGCTGATGCCAGCACAGCCAGCCTGGCTTGTTGGCAGAACTTGGAAGGGCAGACCAGTCAATGGGGGCAGGGAGGCCTCCCTCATAGCTCCTGTTAAACCTGCAATCAAAATCTTAATGGGTGGTCCAGGCTGGAGAAGCAGTAAGAAAGTTTGCCAGACAGTGCTATCGACGGCAAGCTATGTGTTTTTAACTGGTTGGACTCCAGCAGTACCCCAACGGGGTCCCCAAGCCTTGGCTCTTGCCAACCTGCGCCTAATGCTTTCTGGAATTATGTCAGCAGGATGGGTCCATCCAAGGAGAGAGTGCGCATTCCATTCCAACAATCTATCTCTGAAATTTCAAGTGTAGGTGGAATGCATGGAATTCCCAGTTTGGTTTGGATACTCTTAAGCATGGTGACCGTTTTCCACATGTGTCAGACACTCGGCTGACCAAAATAATACAAGTAAACTAGTGCAGTCAAAATATTAATTAACTTTCACAAGGTATGTGGGTTATTTTTCATTTTGATGCCTTACATTTCTTCAGATGACCAACTCCATAGATTATTGAATGACTTCAATAATCTATGTATTTGAGTGTCATTTCTATCCCAATGTGAAATGTCTGGATAAATCCCTCCATGACATTGGATAAATGTATTGTGTTGCATTTAGATTCTCCATTTATAATGATGAATGTTCCTAAAATGTAATATAGCATTCTACACTCCAAGTTATTAAAATCAATAAAAAGTAGCGTAAATAAATATGTTGACATGTTTATAATTTCCATCAATTGCACATTTTGTCAAAACATACTGTGTTTGAATTACTTTGTGCCAATTGCACCCAAGGAGTTTGCAGCAAACTGCACTTGCTTTCTTGCCACTGAAATATCCATTATTAATGCCTAGGAAAAACATTCAATGCTTTCAATTGTTTTCACTACCAACAACAACTTGCATTTATATTGTGGCTTCCACATAAAAGAAACCATTTGGTTAAGAAAGGGATAAAATAATTAGAAAATATATCCAGCTAATTAATAATAATCCTTGCATTTGACATTGCACCTTTCACATCTCAAAGTGCTTGAAAGGATTTTATTGTAAAGTGAGTCACTGTGGTACTACTGGCAACAAGATGAGGGAGGCAATTTTCACACAACAGTGTCTCACAAACAGCTAGGAAGTGAATGACCAATTTTATCTGGGTGGAATCTTGACTTGGGCTCTGAGAGAAGCTCCCTTCTCTTTAGACAATGTTATCTGCTTTCCTGCCCACCTGAACAGGCAGGTGGAATGGGTTTAATCCTATATAATCCTAATTAATACTAATTTGTGTTTGAAACAACGGTTTTCACATCAGACAATGTACAAATAGCCAACAGCCATGAAACAATGAGGTTTAGTATCTCATCGATGGACAACACTTCTAACAATGCAGCACACACCCAGCACTGCATCGAAATGCCAACCGAGACGAAGACCTGAATACCAGATGTGGGCCATGAATTTAGAACTCAGAGGCAAGGTTACTACCAACTGAGTCAGGCAGATTGTAGAGGTTGTCGTAAGTTTAAACTATAACCCACCCCCACCTTACATTCCCGAGAATAGTAAAACTCTCCTTTTCTATGTGATTGTTACTGTTAAATAGTTCACTTTGAAATGCCCGATTCTCTTTGCTAACTTTCCTAATCTCAACAAAACATGCACCTTATTTCTGGGTCTGTAAAGTGAAAGGAATGAGGAAATGTGCTCTCGTGGCTGAAACTGGAATGGAATTGAGATGTCGGAGACCCGAAAAGATATTTCATTACCATTTCATAATCAAGCCTCATCCAAAACAATTATTATATGCATTATATAATGTTTATAATTATATAATTATTATATATCAAGTGGAAACTGGAAGCAACCCTCCAGACTGTCCAAAGACAATTACCAAATTTAAACTACAGAGTGAAAAAATAGATATTATCAAATCTACTATATCTTTTTCTATCTGTCCTAAAGATTGTCCACATGTGTAACCCCTGTTTCCCCTCCCCCGCCCAGACTTTTGCACTAGACATGAGGAAATTTCCATGTGGAGATGTCATTATTGCAGGTTTGGACATTCCTGAGTATAGTGATGGGTTTATACAAATGTCAGACACCGGGCTGATCAAAATAAATTTGCTTTTCTGACATCTTGTTTAAAGTCAATCATGAAACTGTCATTCACATCTCCAGAGATAAATCCTCTTAATCCCCGAGGAGGATAGTGAAAATGCTCATGGGAGGGGGAAGCAACATCATTCACTGCTAATGTGGGACCAGAGATCAGAATCCACGCTGCCCCACAAATTTACAACATTTTAGTACATCAATCACGATCATACATTATAAACATGAGCACAACAATGTTCATTTGTTCTTCATTGGTTTATTGCAGCATGTTGTGCTCCATCAATATTGCTAAGCCATTGTATAAAGGTTATTTATATTTTGTAAAACATTATAAATTTACT